CTCATTATAAAAACAAAAGGAAATTTGTTTCCCTGCAGCTTCTTCCCGGATCCTCATTCATTCTCGCAAATTATCTTAAGAATGTGTCACAAATATTACGCTTCATTTTTGAAAAAGCACCATTGTTTTCTAAAGTGTTATAGTTTTTACTAAACAGGGTCCCATGTTGGTGGCAAAGAATGAAAATATATCTGCAACCGTGTGTCTCAATGTCTACACACGTGGGCTTTGTGATTAGTGCTCATAGTCTAATGTTAGCATGCTCACATGCTAAGCTAAGGCGGTGAACCGCATGGTAGCGTTGTCATTGTGAGCATGCTGATGTCAGCACTGAGCAGAATTTTAGTTTGTTGTTCTTTAAAGATGTGTTCTTTAAATCCAGCAGCAGTTGCAATAGATCAAGATGATCCACTAACATCGGCAGTCCCATAAAACGGCTCGTCTTTCTTTGCATTCCCATCTCACCGAGTGTCGATATCAGCGACGGCACACCCGATGTGGACGAGGGGGAGTTTGATTTAAATCTGTGTTTCATATACGGGACTCCAGTGAATCCATAATACCCCTAATACATCTGCTTGCCCACGGACCTCTCTCCCTCCTGCTGCTCCTGATCTTAAAAAACATCCATGCCACGATGCAGATGATTGAGTGTGTATCATGGCCGATGGCCCTGCGTGGGAAGGAGTCATCACGTGTCACGACAGCCTGCTTTTTTTCCCTCTCCTCTCGAGCGTCTAATTAGAAAGCCCCTCGCGGATAGAATATGATAAACGCACGACACCGGACAGCTTGTTCTGCAGCCGACTCCACAAAGGCGATCGGTTGAAGGGTAAAAAAAAAAAAAAAAATGTCTCAATCAATCTGGTTCCCATTTGCTGTTGTTTCGACATTGATTTTATCCAGCGCCTCAGTGGCAGTGGTGTATGCCCGAGTAGGCCTCCCGTGAGACAACTGAAGAGTAAAACACAACACCGTATTGATCCCTCCTTTAGTGGCCGTGTACAAAGACTGTTCACTTCTGAAAGCAAATACAGCTGAGGATTATCTGAGCTCATCTAGCTTCACCCTGGACTAACAGAAAAGAACAGGGTGTCGTGAATGTGTGCAAAGTCATAGAACGTGCTGGAACCATTTTTCTTCGCCCAGTAAATTGAAACATCACAAGCCGCCAGTGAATCCGTGTCATGTTCCTGCATTTCTCTTCCCCACTACGGTTAAAACAATATCCCTGTGCTGTCTGTGACCTTTGTAACCGACTCATGAAAGCGGGACAAAAAAAGTGTATAAAACCATCCTCCAGTGATGTGCTAAATGTCAGGCCTGGGTGTGAAATCATCGACGTTGTTAAGAGATTGAAAGATATATTGTAAAAGGATATATTCTCAGGGGGTCGTCAGATCATCGCTCCCCTTTAGATGCATTCAGACGGATCTGTTTCTGTTCAAACCACTTATCATAATGTCTGTGACTAAAGAACTGGCTTCTGTCTGGTGTGTGAGATGTACTCGTCAGATGCACTTGCATATTATTCACATGGATTTCACGGATTTATTTTGGTCAAGAAATCAAGTGGATGTGAGACAGAACATCACGATGAAGAACAAAATGAACTGAGAGTTAACCCTATTATAAAGGTGTGATGATAAATTTGATGTTATAGATTAATCTGCCAATGAATCAATACGTCAAATAAATACTTTGTCTATAAAAAGAATTCTTTCAATCGGCCAATCGATTAAATGTTTCATCGAATTAAAAGCCATTTACTTTATTTTGCCTTTTGATAATCAACCTTTTCTTGAATCTCTAAATTCATGAAAATGACAGCGTCAATGCTGTCACTTCAATATGCGTTTGTCATCATTTACATGCAGAGGGTGACTGAAAGGCGGCAGGCAGACGTTCCACAAACTCCTCATAAACTGCACCCAGGCTGACCTGCAGGTGTGAGTCGCTGACACCGTCACACCGCAGGCTTTTCACTTTGATCGGTGTGGTTATTGTTTCCGTGAGAACCGGTCTGTGGTCTCACACACGTGAACGGTGTGATTCTCGCGCCGTTCGGTTCGTTTTGCACCTCTCGATATGACTGACATCCTCCGCGCTCTCATAACGGCACGATGGACTCATCCCCACTTTAAAAACGTGTTTTTTAAATCTCTCCCTATCTGGCTTTAAACCAAGCCGTAGCATGGACAGGCCTTTCAATATAACAGCACTATGTTTCCATTGTGTCTCTAACAAATCGTGCGGAACGTTTATTTGTGAATCGGAGGGGATGAAACGCTGCAACGGGCCGACAGAAAAGGGACATTCTCATGAGAGGAGCAGAACATGCGCTGCACTTTGACACACGGAGGCGGCCTCTCCCCGACCTCGCAGGCTGGTCTGCGCCGGGGGGTCGGGAGAGGGGTTCAGGCAGCGGCTGATCAAAACCAGAAATGGCCGTTTCCCGCTCCGAGGAAAGGTCGCAGGAACCCGGATGTTTGTGTTCCAGACGGTCTCTTTCCGATGGTTATTCTAAGGAACTCGTCAGATTCATCCCCACATGTAGTAGTGATGGGAAAGTTGTACCTTTGACATGTTAGTTGGGCTAAACGGGCTGAGTTGGGCCATTTGTGATTGAAACAGGAATGGGGCACCATTCAGTTCAGGGCTCTGCAAACAGTAAACGAAGGTGCAGGTGTAACTTGCTAAAGGGGATGAGCTATTTCTGCAGGTCGCATCCTGTTAGAAAAGGTCCGGCTTTGGCAAACATGAATTAACCTGCAGAATCTTTGTTTCATTCCACGGCGACTCATTGGATTTACTCTTTATTGCAACACGCTGCGTGTTTGTAGGTATTTAGCACTGGTCCTTTTTGTTGACAAGGAAATTGTCAGTCACGCTCGATCTCATTGACTGTGGGACGTACCTGTCGCCTCCAGCCGTGGAGGTGAACAAAATGGGAACCGTGTCTATTCTCCCACCGCTCGCACACAAATTGAGCATTCGAGCCAGCGAATTCCATTCGTCCCGTTTTGTCCGCGCCGCTCTCACCTTGACTACTCTGCAAATCCTCAAATTGCTGTTTAAGCCTGTCAGTCAGCGTAGCGATGGAAGGGATGGTGGTTTGTCGTCGTCTGCTTCCCGGCTAATAAAACGAAGGGATAACTGCTTAATCAATGTCAGATGGCCAATGCCGGCAGACGGAAGATAAATGAGCCACGCGTTCATCGTGAAAGCCTTTCAGATGAGGGGTTGGGGACCTGAAATAGAGGAGATCGATGGAAAACACAGCAAGGCTCTTATGTTTTCTACAATATGCTCACCAAAGAAAAACTAGTACAGTTCCATTTTCAGCCCAAAGGAAACTATTGAAAGGAAATTAGGAAAAGATTAAAAGAGATATCAGGTGACAGTTGCGTGGATCTGTAAGGAATTGTAGCGCCTTTAACTATTTCACAAAAATAAAAACGTGCAGCATTTAACCTTTACAAAAGTTCACAGTAGGGTTTCTAAAGCGTAGCTCTTGTGCACGACCTCCTTGGTGAAAACGTTTTTGCACATGACTGGACATTTTCCCCCTCATTAGCAGCTCATGTGTGTTACAAGACAGACCGCATCATTATCCGTTGTGCATGCCGGCTATTTACTGTCTTGAAATTTGATTTGCTGCAATAACGTTGGACTAAAACCTGCTTCACTACACAGTGCACAATAACGTACACGGCCTACCAGCAGCCGTCATTACGTGCTCACATCTGTTTTAAATTGTCTTTGTCCACATATTTAGTTGATGAGCTCAGGCAATATCAGCTTAAGGAGAGCATAGAATGAGATTTAGAGATGCTCACTAGAGCAGATTCATTCCCCTGTTGAGTAAGATGACAAAAAAACAACTCTCCAGCTTTTAACTTCATTGAACTCATCAAAAGACTTGATTTCTCTTCAAGTTAATTATGAGAACCTTCTATGAATTCTTATGCTGTGATTATGCGCGTGGATGGTAAAATGAAAGGGCACATTGATGAGCGGTGAGGCTGTTTTGGTTTTGTGCTGTTTAAAAGTCATTTGAAAAGCACGTTTTTGGAAACATTTGAGGATGATAAACATGGAAATATGTGCTGCTTTTAATTATTCATAGCTGTTTTAATTTTCCCAAATGACATTAAGATAACATGACCAGATAGTCATATGCCAATAATTCTAAAACATCCATCCTCCATCCATCTAAATATTGACTTTAACTTTATTTTGTTGACCACTAAAGCGCAATTATCTTTCTATCTGCTGCAGTGAAACAGTCCTAACAATGATGCATCAATAGCAGGGCAGCTTTAAGTTCATGTCTCCTGCCATCTGATGGATTTACTGTAAAAAGCTTAGATGTTAGTGCTAATTGCATAGACACGGTGCTAATTGCCACGGCATCACAAATCACCTTCCTCGGTGCTCTGTGCCAATTAAATGCAAACAGCCAGTGATCTGAGGTTCCTGTTGCCTGGGGGGGGTAAACTCAACCATCTAATTTTAGGGCTTTCAGCCTTTCCCATCTTAAAGCGACTACACACGTTTGTACCTTTCACCAACCCACAGTCTGCATCTGCCACCTGCCCTTCACGTTGTGCTTATTCTACATGGATCCCTGTAATTAAAGAAACAAGAAATAAGACGAGGGAAAACCATCATGTCTCCTGAGAATCTTCTTGGAGCAAATGAGAGGTTCCCAGAGAGGATTACGGGAACCCGTAAAAGACATGTTCAACTTCAACCACTATCTCTTTTTTTTGCAGTTGTGCAGAAAACCATAATTATCCAAATAAGACTCTGCAATCTGGATCAAACCTGACCGTTAAACACGAAAATTGCATTAAGTGCAATTAAGCTGACATATATTCCATTTTTATAAATCAAATCCTTCTCCTGAAGAGGATGGGATTTAATCGTATGACCATGATGATGATGATGATGATGAGTGGCCGACGCACATCCCTTTTTCCCCTCCTGAGAGATGACGAATGAGCGGGTCTAGGTGGGATCCAGGCTCGGGGAGGAGGATGACGTGGAGAAGCCACCGTCTGTGACAGCGACAGTTGTTTCTCTCCCAACCAGCTTCAGCTTCATCATCATCATCATCCTCACCATCCTCATCGTCGCCCGCAGCAGCAGCAGCAGCAGCGTCCATCGCCGAGCGGCCCGAGCATCGCGCATCTTCAAGGGGCGCGCGCGCGCGACTCGACGGGGGAGATGGGGAAATGGCAGTTGGCCAAATGTAAGGATCAAAAGATTAAACGAGGTCTTCATTTATGATACAACCCGTGCATCGATTTATGCATCAATAGGAAATATTCAAACAACGAGAGGTAAGACGATATTGTGTTTTTTTTCTCTCTCTCTCACTGCACACAGAGTGCTGCGAGTCAAAAGATAATTGTACATTGATGACGATTTTTCAGAATCTGGGTTTAACGCTATATGCCAGTTTTGCATTTTGATGATTGCCATGTCAATTTATGAAACTCAATTCTGACCTGATAAGGCATTTAGATTTTTGTTCGTGTTTTTTCTGTCTCGAATTTCTGGAAATACTATTTTCTCAAGCGTTGCTTAATTGGCTCAAATGCTCACAGCGCGAGGTTTCTGTCAGACTGACACAGATCAAATGCTTATTTTGGTATATTTATCCGTTAACCAAACATTATATTATACTCCTTCAGTATTAGATTAAGTAGCACTAAAAGGAGGCGCAATTGCATTTAACTGTCCTCTTAAACCCAAACACGAGTATCCATCTGCCCCCTTGTGGCTCTATTCATGCTGCGTCTTCGTGAGTGGACCAAATAAATGTAGTTATATTCTACATGTATATTTACGTATATACATGTTGTGTGTATATACAGCTACATTTATTTGTGTGTATATATATTATTCGTGTATATATATACACGTTTTTTTATTACAACATTTAAACAAATATTGCGTAAGGAAGGAAGGAAATATTACAAAATCTCGAATGAAATGACTTGGGGTGGACCATCCAAGCTCTACAGCGCCACTTAACCCATGCTCACAATTCTTGTTCCAGGCTTTGATTTTTTTATGGTGTGCAACTCCTTTCATCTCATAAGTGGCCCACATTCATGTATCGTCCCCCTGTGTGGTTTCTTGTTATGTAATTTCATCCCCATCAGACTGCATCAGCCTCAGAGTGTTTGCTGCTCGGCTTATTTGAGCTCACATGGGATATTTATAGAAGTAACGTGTGAGAGTAAAAGGTAAGTGAGATAGGGGTAATACAGTGAGTACATGCTTTATCTGTGTGTGCGTGTGTGAAGGTGTGCGGTGTGGATACTGAAAAAAACAAGTTGTGAATTGCATTTCTCTCAGGGAAATTAAATCAGACCACATGGCAAAATGTTTTTGATTATTATTTCCAACACATTCGCATCCCACCTAGCCACATGCTAACATTTCACTGCCTATTTTGTCTTTCAGATCTTTGTTTTTCAGATAACCCCATCTGAAGCATAAGGAATCATGGATGGAGCTTCATCCTCCCTGCAGTATGGATCCAAAAAGCGGGTGAAGATTCATCCAAACGCGGTGACGGTAAAATATGCCACCCACTTCCCCCAGCCTGGTGATGAAGGGTATGACGATGCGCCCTCCTTCGAAGAGTTTGGCGCCTTCGCTGAGGCCAATGTGGGAAAGAGACTCGTGGCGGACGGCAAAGGTAGCCGGACTTTGTTTGGAACCCTGGAGACCCAGCCTAAGCAGCCGAGTGTGCCGAAAGACAAGGGGGTTGGGGGCCAGCTGGCCAGCTTTGGAGAGGCAAACGTGTTGGCCTCCAGGGTGACCTGGATGGCCTTGTTTGGGGCAGCAGTGGCTCACGGTTGCGTGGCACTCATTACTCGCTTAGCCGCTGACCGCTCTAAAGTGCCCTCCCTCGAGCTTCTCTTCATCCGCTCCGTCATCCAGGTGCTGTCCATCCTGGTGGTGTTCTACTACCACGAGGCCCCCTTTGGCCCCAAGGGCTACCGGCTACGTCTATTCTTCTACGGTGTGTGCAATGTAATCTCCATCACCTGCGCCTACACCTCTTTTGCTATAGTACCGCCCAGCAATGGCACCCTCATGTGGCGAGCCTCCACCACAGTCTTCAGTGCAATCCTGGCCTTCCTGCTGCTGGATGAGAGGCTGGGCTACACAGACGTGGTCACAGTGGTGGGAAGCGTGTTCGGCCTGTGCCTGGTCATGGTGCCGAATGTGGCCGACGAGGAGAAGACGAGGCTGGGCTTTTGGAAGGAGGCTTTTGGCTACACAATGACAGTGATGGCTGGCTTGACCGCCGCCCTCTCCATGATCGTCTATCGAGCCATCAAGGAGCGGGTCAGCATGTGGACGGCGCTCTTTACCTTCGGCTGGACGGGCACGGTGTGGGGGGCCTCCACCATGTTCATCATGCAGGAGCCCATCATTCCTCTGGATGGGGAGACCTGGAGCTATTTAATCTGCATCTGCATCTGCTCCACCGTGGCGTTCCTCGGAGTCTACTACGCTCTAAACAAGTTTCATCCAGCCTTAGTCAGCACGGTGCAGCACCTGGAGATCGTGGTCGCCATGTTCCTCCAGCTCATTGTCCTGAGGATGATCCCGTCGGTCTACGACGTCATCGGAGGCCTGGTCATCATGATCAGTGTGTTCACCCTGACGGGGGTCAAGCTGTACAGGGTGAGCAGGGCGATTCGGCAGGATTATCAAGAGATCCTAGACTCACCCGTCAAATGAGCATGGATATGTCAGTCTGTTTGTTTACAATGTTGCTTGGTTGTGCGATTTAAAGAATGTCTGGATCTTCATCTGATGATTTTGTATTGCTGTGTCGTTGGAAGGGTGCCAGTTGTGTAACTAATGTCTTAATATTTGTGTGTGAAATAAAGGACAAGTGTAACATGGTGACTACGTCCCCCTTGATAGTATTGCTTCTACGCCGAAAAGTATGAGAAAAGTTCTGTGATTTATTTTGCTCCGTTTTGAATCATATTGAATCTGGTTTTGTGAGTGGCAACGTAAGATGATCATTTTAATGAAACAGGGTGTGGTGTATCCATCCGTCGTCACACTGCCACAGTTGTCAGTCTGTGCAAATGTCAGACCAGAAATTGTTGATACTGCATACAAGGAATTTGAAGAATAAAAACTAATACCATCCATGTTTCATAAAATAACTGTTGTTGCCTGTTGCTTGCAAAAAATGTATAATTTCCTCAATTAAACTGCTATTAAAGAGGAAACAACATATGAACAGGGGTGGATAACGGGTTTATGGAAGCTCAACCATTACCTTTCAGAATTTTATTTTGCCTCTCACGTAAGTTTGGGCACCAACAGCCGCTTGATATCCAACATTAGTGAATACATACCTGGGCGCAGATTCTGTTTCATTTCAGACGTGTACGAAGCTAATGTCCAGAGGCAGGTGCACTGTATTAAATGAGTCCCTATTTAACAACATGAGACCATCTGATTTGTTTCCAATGGACAATTCAGTGGTTCGCCATGGTGTTCCCTTTCCCTGTGAAGCAAACCAAGCCACGGCCGTGGCGTCCCCGGGGCAAAGCAACCCTGATGGAATGAGATAAAGACGTAAGATGATGCAGAGCGGCTGAAAGAGGCCATGTTGCGGTTCAAAGCTGACACATCGTGTTTCACAAAGAGCCCAGCAGGTGGCATTCACAATCCACTCCATGGTTCAGTCTGAGTTAGCTGTGGTGTGCACAGAAGATCAGGATGGTGGTAGTTGTACATGCAGGGAAAATAGTCATTACTGCATCAAAACAACCCAAACACACTATACTTGACACTGCTCACACAAAGCCTGCCTCTTTAGTGAGCACAAGAAGAATCATTTGAAAGCTTCATGAGCTGGTAACGTGTTGTAACTGTGTGGCACTCAGAGGATGACGTAGAGCACCCACTGTCTGTGAGAGTGACAGGTGTTACTTCAACACTTGCATGTTTCAAATAGTTTTATTGTAATCGGAAACATTCATCATTGTGGTTATACCCACGCACAAATAAGACGTTTTGCTGAAATAAGATCATTACATGGTGATGATCAAACTTCAAGCTCATTTAATTTACAAGCAAATGTTTAACGACAATCATCAAGACATAACAATTTGAAACTGTCATGTTCCGGTTTCTTTTAAAACACCATGGTCAATACCTAAAGTTTATCTTTCAAACTAAACATGTGAATATATTGGGTTTGGTCTCCATTATGTGTTGTGTCATCATCTTGTTTTGAGATGGGATGGAATTGGCTGCACGAAGCTGAATTACATGAAGAGGAGGCCCATCTGTTTGAGCAGGAAACAGATTGCATCCTGCAGCGAGCTGCACAACCTTCCAAATGACTCTGCAAGCCTCTTCACCACAGACATGTTTATTAGAAGTATCATTTCCCAGGAGATGCCTTCATGGAATTTTATGATTACTGAATGTATGTGTAAGTCTGTTTTTATTTATGCTGCACGCTTGGCGACTAATGTTTTTTTTTTCTGGGAGGTTCAAAAACACTAGGCTAACGTGTCTTTCCAACCATTAAATATACATATATCCGTATGTACAGACAACATATTACTAGCTGCAGGAAACGTTTCAGATTAGGAATATAGAGTACAATCAACTTTTATGTAAGATGATTTTCTATGCCCTTTTGTTAATCCATTTGTTGGTTAAAAATAGATTTGCAACAATTGCAATTTATTGATTTGACTAAATAATGCGGGATGCAACAATACTAATGTGGGCTATGTCTTTTCTTTCTGACAGCTGAGTCTGGGCCACATCAAATAGTAATAGTAATAGTTATATTAAAGTGGTAATCGTACATTTTTTTACATAAAAAGATGGAACATGTTTTCTGAAATTTTTTTATTTTATTTTCTGAAAAAATAAAGCTTATGCCTATGATCACATTTGAAAAGTTTTCACTTTAAAATCAACAGGGGAAATATTAAGGCTTTCCACTTTTAGTATGAAACGTTTTTTAAATTAATCAGATTTCTAATTTTGTAAGTAGTCATTAGGTTTATTTAGCCTCTTAAGTCGAAAATAACGATGGATGCTAACGGTAACCCAAAACATCAGCAGCTGCACTGCGATAGACCGACAGCGCCACAGTCCAATCACTGCAGAGCCAATTTTCCCGCAGCCAATCGGATACAAGTAGGAGGAACCTGGAACGTGAACAGCTTGCGGGGCTGCTGCTAGCTAGCCTAGCCGTGCTACCCAGCAGCAGTGACATGCTTTTAAATAGAAATGCTATTCCAACGGGGCACATCGTCTCATCGGCTAGGCTAGCTTGTCGGGGTGGGAAAAGCAACCGGCCGCTAGCGGAGATTCCCGTTATCGTTCTGCGTCCTGCTCCTAGACACTAAACATTTCCCCAAAGGACGTAGGAAAGAGGTGGTCATCCGCAATCAGGTAAGACGTGGTCTAAATCTGACTCGCCACTGACTGTGAAATCTAACCCGACACGGGCTACCGCAGCGACGAGAGCTAACGGTTCCAGGCTAGCTGCGGCTACCCTCGAATTCACCGAGTAACGTTACCAGTCACGTCGGGTAACCGTTAAGCCAGACGGGGGGGGAAAACCCCAGTCTGTCGCCTTGCCAACACGGCCAACCTACGGTTACCCCGCCGGCTAGCGGCTCGTGTGGCTGTAGCTGAGGTTCTTAGCCATTTATACGCGTTTTTCTTTTTTTTTTGTTGCTGCTTGATTTACTTTTGTCGTGGGGGGGGGGGGGGTTACGTTAGCCAAGTGAGAACCGCGCGAGGTGCGCCTTTTAGCGTTAACAAGATGAAAGCCCCCCAAGATAAAGCTGCTGTTACAGCCTCCGAATCCCGCAACTCGTCCTTTTTTTTCGCGCTGGCACCACGTTGACGCTCTTTGACTCTCTGGGACGGTGAACGGAGATGACGCCTCCGCGGCAGCCACGGAGAGCGGGTCCCCCCCCTCCCCGAATCCACCGCAGCCTCCCCGGTTCTCACCGTGAACATTTTCACGTAAACGTTCAGTAACGTTCGTTCCCGAGTCGGACTTGTTTCGCCTTGATTTGAATCCAGCGTGGCCTCCGTCGTCGCGGCGATGGCGTCATTCCCCGCAGTGAGCTCATTACTCCGCTCAGCTGTGGCGTTAAACAGCCGCTAATGGTTGTTGTAGTCCGCCTCCTCCTCGCATACTAATGGGGCCTTTTTGTACATGCATTGGAATTAGGGGGTTGTTTGTTTTTGCATTATTAATTTTCTATATATATATATATTTGACAATGAATTGATTCATAATTTTACCCTTTTTAAAAAAATGAAAGTTGTCCATCCCTGTTTAGTATCCGAGGTGATGCCTTCAGGTATCTTTTGGCTGAGCAACTGTGTCAAACTCAAATGTCTTATGTTTACAACCTTCTTTTTTAATTGATCATTTATTTTTTTTTCTCTTCAAATCAAAGGCGGACACTGTCAATTGATACTAGAAGGAAAATCTGTCAAGTTCCATCTACGTAGGGAGACTGTTAATGGGTACAGACTAGGTGTGTGTAACCATTTCTTTTCCTGGAGCAAAATCGCCGTTGCTTCTCTCCATTGTTTCCACCTTCCACAACCAAAGGCCGACTAAACGTCATGCTCCAGCGGCACGGTGGGCGATAAGGCTGTGTAATTGTTGGAAAGCCCTTGTGTTTGTGTGGCCCCGTTGCATTGCTTGTTCAACAATCCAGAAATGGTTATGGCTCGAGTGTTTCATCTCGCAGACGCTCATTTGTGAGATGTGTGGTTCGCTGCGATGTCAGCGACTCAAGGGGGATAGCGTGCGCTTCTTTCCAAACGCCAAAGGGTTTTTCTGTGCAGCTGCTGAATCGTACGGTTTCTGTAATTATTGTCACACTGACAGACCTCTTCGCAGTCTCTCATTAAGGTTTCGGGGAGGTGGGAGAGGGAGAGAGAGAGAGAGAGAGAGAGAGAGAGAGACACTTTAGGTCTGCTGGGCTCCGCGGGAGTCTGAGGAAGGATCGGTACCGATCGCAGGGAGAGAGGCCGTTACAAACGCAATTTGCACCAAGGTTAATATATTCTCTTGGGCATTGAGTCCAATTTGTGAGACATGTGGACATCACCATTATGAGACCCACAGAGAACCTTTGCTTACATCCACTCCAGGATGAAAGCCCCCCCCCCCACACTCCTTTCTGAAGGAAAGCTTTTAGTATTCAACTAGGCAGCGATGTGGCCCTATTTATTTAATCTCCATCACATTTATAGCTCTTTTTGACTCGGATACCTTCTAATGCCCTCTCTCGATGTTTCAACAGTATAGTCTTATGGATATGCAGTTGCGATGAGGAGGTCCCTCTCCTGCCAACGCCTCCTTCGTAGTGCATTCTATGTGCTACCAGTGGCCCCAAGCAGCCAAATCTGTGTCCTCACAGCCGTAGGGGAAAATACCAACTGTGCATTTTTGTAATGGCCAAAAATCGAATGTGGTTGAAAAATTCCTTGGTAAGAAAACCGGCCCAGTGGCCTTTGGTTTCTATCCAACGAATAAGGGGAATTGTAATTTTTTTTAACAATCTGTTATTGCATATGCTCTTTCATTTCCTCATTTTCTTTTACAAATTTACCCTTTTCGGTCTGGTATGTTTGACTGATTGCTCATGCATGTAGGTGTGTTTTGAGCAGTCCATAAGAAAGGTAACTGAGGGCACATGTTGGAAAAGAAGCTGTCTTTTGTCAGGTGCAACAAGGTAAAGTATAAGCAGTAGATCCGAGAACCTACAAAAACATCTCTGGTCAGCAGCACACACTAAAGCAAAGTTATCACAATATGTAAAGTTGATTGCGTTTGGTGTGTTGACATCCCTGCTCACTTCTGCAAAACGTGCGGTTAGACTATCTGCTCTCATTTCTTATTTGGAGTGAGTGATTTGACTTCCTCGTGTGGAGTTTCAGTGGGCTTTTTCTCCATTAGTTCATAATGGTTTTCCTTCTTTTGGTTTTGCATTGTGAAAAGGAGCACATGTGTAATTGCAACCGCAGCTCTTGCTGTGATGACAGAATTGGTTGTGAATCCATGATTAGAAATCCAATGATCGTGTCAATTCCTTGATTATTGATGAGTACGTTTTGAGGCACAGCTGCGTTTTACTGCGATGCACTTTGGGTCCACCTCCTAGATATTTTATGTGAATTGGTTGAACAGCAACAATAGGTTTGCCTAAAGGTATAATTCACTCCCACAGTGTCTCCTGAGGAAGGTTGATCACGAGTCTTGTCATCAACATCGGTGGACAAAGGATTCCAAATGGTTCTCTTCCTATAGCTCGACCGCTGTTGAGCTCGATCTATCGGAATGTTGCATTGCAAACAACCCATCCGTGATATATTTGACCGCACCACTAACTGCCAGTGAACAAAGGTTTGATTACATTACGACGCGTTCAATCCACATATCATATGTTGACACGTATCGCCGTCAAATATAGTGTTGGTCGGAAAAGGTGCGGAACCGTAGTTTTATGATCTGAGGAGGCATCCCAAACGAGCCAAGATGAGGAAGAAATCTGTGGCAACGGCAAGATATTTCAACATTTTTTTTTTTTTTTTTTAAACTGTTCATGGAAATGGCAGCTCTTGCAGGAAGCCTTTTTTTCTTTTGCTGTACCGTCACAATGGGTTGGTTGAAGTCGAGCTGGTGAGGCTTTTGCACCTTTTTAACCTTAAAACCTGCCATAATTGTTCTCTGGAACCTTTTTTAAGCTTCCACTTTTTTGAGTCTTTTGCTTTTCAGTGTTGAAGCATGTGAAACCGTTTGTCCATATGCAAGTTTTTATTCGGAAAACAAAATAATACATGATGAAGTACGTATAGCTATTCATAAGTATGGTTTGAAATAGTTATGTGATCTTGTATGAAGGCCGTTTCTGAGAGGTGAGAATATTTCAGAAAAGTGTTGTTCCCCCTATCAAACAAACATCTTGTTTTTTTTCTTTTTTTGTTTTGCTGACGTCAGATTTTTCATGGCATCAAGGTGCAATCTGGAATGCCTCCTGCACTCGAGCTGCTCTCACGAGTTCCAACACGTGGCTCTCCCAGACTTCTATCCCAAGTGGCTTGTTTAGTCCTATTGTGACAGCACCTCGGGGCTCATATCGGCCAGGATGTACGAAGACTAAGAGGAAGCCAGTGTATCCATTTCACCCCTCTGACACAGGCTGTCGGGTACTATTGGTTTACAAATGACTGCAGCAAATATACCTGCAGTTGCAGCAGGTGTACTTCACCTTCAGTACATCAGTACAATCGGCCCATTTTTGACTGACTCCTACTTTGCGTGGTTCAAGTTGCCTGACGAACATGCAACCAAAGAGACTCATCGTGTTCTAGCACTTGATGTTAGGAATCCTCCTGCTTTGTAAACTTGCAATAGTCATTGGGAAAATCCCATAGAGCTCTCAGAGTTGGTGTGTTAATCTGAAGGTTTATTTTTCTGTTGCCTTGATCCCAGATTTTTTTTTTTTTGTGGATGTGGCCATCAGTGGACCTAGTCGCTATAAGCAAACAACTGGCAACTCCAGCGAGGCGTGGGTGCGTAGGCTTTGCTGATGAGGAAATGGATCCTTTCTTACTTCTAAGTGTTCCGTTCTGCTGTATTTACGAAGAGAGGACATTGGTGTTTCACTTTGATAGCCTGTTGCTAAGACCAGTTGTAGGCTACGTTGAACAAATTGAGTGTAAATGCCGGCGTGTAATAATAATTAAATGTGTAAGCCTGCTTCAATTCAACATATTTAGCAAATGACTATGGCAGTGGCCCCATTTCTGAACGTTAAACATGCTTTCTACAAGCCCTGGTTATGTCATTTAATTTTCCTTTTCCAGCACGCCCTCTATAAAAGCTAGCGCTTTTGTCTCGCTTTTTAATGTTTAGTTGGTCTTACCCACCCCACAAAACAAGACACCAAAAATGACATCTCATCCTGTTTTCCACAACAGCAAGTCGGTTCCCCAGAGCCATTTCTCTCTACGAGTGTCATCCAGGCTCATCCCTTGTGAAGTGGAGAATAAGTCGTCGTAAAGAGCCGGGGCACTTTTCAGATTCAAGTCTTGCCAATAACTCTTGTCAAGATTGGCTGCCACGTCTGTCAGAATAACAGTGTTTGAGAAACGATTACTACGATTTGAGTAGTCGGTGTTTTCAAAACGCGGTACTACTGTATATTGTTGGGGTGAGTTTCACAAGTTCTCCTCTTGGTATCAAAGTGACCGGGTTATGACTTTTTTTGAGGCCGAATTGCTAAACAACATATTTCAAACGGTGACACTGTGTACGCTTCTCACAGATTTGCTTTGGCCGTAGAGCGGCGCCTTTTGATGTGAAATGGGCCTGAAGGAACTTTTAGTGTTGGTTGTTGCTATGAGAGCAACTCTCTGGCAATTCTCACAGGACATGAACCACTCTATTTTAGGTCATCCCCAACTACTGAGGGTGATCCTGAGGGGGGGGATAACCAAATGCTTTCACACAGTCTTCAGCCTATAGGGCTTAGCCCAAAACACTAGAGGCCCGGCTGTCCTTGGTTCAGTTTTAATATGATACTGGAACAGTAGAGTTATCTTTATTTGGGGACTCCACTGGTCAAGTTTTAAATGTGGTTCTTAACCATCTTCGTTGTCGTTTGATGTACATTACATGCATCAATGCAAGGCAAAGACAGGTTATCTGAACTCCGATGTCAGGCCTGCACTCTGTCAGATTGCATCACTTTCCCATCATCCGGTCACCCTTGTGTCCACACTTCCTGTCTCACAGCTGGCCTGCCAAGTCTCCCATGACCCTTTGCTGCTTTGTTTTTGTTTTGAGAGCATCTCGGACCGCTGGGATGAGCTGCAGTCTCATGGGTTCTTCAGTAGCCACGGTTCGATGTGGAGGGGAGAAAAAAAAAAAGAACACGGCGCATATTCCTACATCGCTCCGCCGCCGTCCGGCTGTGAAGCGAGACCTGCCGGTGGGGCCGAAATGTGAGTTTTGGTTTAAGTTGGCGGAAGTGCAGCGGTGCCAGAGGGCCCGGGTGAGCATACAGAGCACATTCCAGAAGGCAGCAGAGGCTGTGATTTTAGCAGGCTGTCACAGGGATTAGGTTACTCTGTCTGTCTCTGTGAGCTCATGCTGTTGCCGTCTCAGTGCTTCAGCGATCCCGTCGATTGGTGGGTACTATTTGCTCCCAATTTGTCTCTCCGGTTGGTTTTAGATTATGCCGTGTCCCGTTTTTGTGATTTCCTTTTTTACTAATAACCTCTGGTTTCCTTCTGGTTAAAGCCAGAACCATTTACTGGAATCCACACTGAACCAAAAGTACCTATATCTCTAAGAGTTGCATCCACGCATGGTGCACTGCCGCTAGGTGTGCTGTTAGACTCCATCTCCACTCGTGCTCTTAAGGGGTTGGGGGGGGGTCACGCAGCTCCAGACTGCAGGATGTGGTCAACTCACGTCAGTAATGTTTCATAATAATGTCTTAGGAACGTGCAAACTGCATCTCAGCCACACCACTGGTTTGCAGTTGTTGTGGCGGCTTGTGGCTCGGCAATAGTGTAAACGTTATCGACAAGCAAGCTCTATCGTCTCTATAGATAACCGCGGGAGATTTGGTCACGGGGGCTCTTGCTGACGGGAAGCGGTTGTGATCAGTGTCGGCCCCCTTGAGAACACGAGTGGATGACGGATAAACACTGGTGCTGCAGTCAGCGGCTTGGAACTGCCGCTCTTGAAGTAGATAAGATGGGACCGCTCCATCCGCTCGGTATTCAGTAATGAACAGTTGGCTATCAGGGAAAATAATAGTTTTACTTTCTAAACGTTGACATTTGAGCTTTTTAACCTCCAATGGGATCCTGATTCGGCAAACTGACCCCGAACTGGTTGTGTTCTGCTGAAAATGATCAAATGTGACATTGATTTAAGAGCTGCATTGATGCCATAGATTATGTATGAGGTAAAACAAGTTGAAGCACCACAACTTTATATTCAATTTTGGTCAGACCAGCTGAAGCATGTGTGGCGTGCGGCAGCTGATGGATGAGGTGCCTGGTAATTCTACCAGGCAGCGTGGTAAACGAACCTCCCATGCGTATATGACACCTTTTAAGAAGTTTGACCTATCCGACCTTGTCTTTTAGTGCTTTCGAGTAGCGGGCGGCCTTGACTCGGCCTGCAGCTGCGCGATCGGCTCACAGCATCTGTCGCCCCGACTTTTTGATCCTCCCCTCACATCTGCAGCACCGTAAGTCTTTGCGGTGTCGATGGGCTCCCAGTTGCGCGGCCACACTACATGTGGTGCCGGCAGTTTAAAAAAAAGTGTGATGCAGTGTACTCTGTGAAAAGGGGATCGGTGAGAAAGGCCTACATTGATGATTCCTTCATTCGCTGGCAGGAAGAGTTGAAAATGAACGATAGTAAGGGAGGGATGTTGTAAATGGAAAAGGAGAACGTATACACACACTTGTGAGACAGTAAGCCAGCACAGGGAATGGAGGGATTGTTGCCTTTGTCTTGGTGAAAGAGGCGCCACTAAAGGAGAGTAAATCCGCTCTTTTTTTTTTTTTTTTTGTGTGCCGCTTCCTAACATGTCTCCCAGTGTGCATTCAGATCATTAGACATGGAAAAGGAGCAGGCGATAACATGCCATGAGATGAACCACGCTATACACCCCAGTGTTTTTAGGTAAACAAAGATAACGACGCCTGACATGGGAAGAACAGAATTGATCCAATGCGCAAGATTCTTTTTTTGTTTTTGTTTTCTGATGCAGCATAACTAGCGTTCTCCTCTGCTCCTAGCCTGTACTTATTTACCGTTTGTTTTTCTGCCCTCGGCCCATCACGCTGAAAGTTTAGCCTGGCTCCTCATGTTTGCCTAAGATCAGGTTGGGGGGCTATCTCAAGGCCAGCTGGAGGCGAAACCCATACACCGCTGCTTCAAATGAAAACCCAAGGGCTCTCAATCAATGAGGTCAGTGTCTGGTCCCTGAAGTCAGTCGGGGCGGGGGAGCAGGGGGGCGGAGGGGGTAGAAAGGTGAAACTCCTTCCACTCCCGTGACGGCTAAGCTGCTTTGCGAGTGCCCCGCTCCTCGAGTGCTGCAGCATTAGCCCCGGCGTCGATGGGCCGGTGGCTACGCGGGTCATAAGACCAGTTGTCGTTGTGAATGTCTTTTATTGTTGAACACACAAACAAGTTTGGATTTGTTTTTTTTGTTTTTTTAAATGCCCAGGGAGCTTGACTGTCCCTGCGATAAGGAACGTGGCAAAACAACAGAGCCATGCAACGCGGTTCTCGCACAATCGCAGCATTTGCATCGGCCGCACACACAGGAATATTAAGTGTGCTTATCCCACATCACCACGTTCGCTCCTTGACGTAGTCGCACTGCTGACGCACAGTGCCCCTCTTCTTTACTTCCCCATTACAGTAATCTTTGCCATCCCTCCGGCTCAGATTCATGTTGGATTCCTCACACAGAAGACAATCGTTGGACTCCTTCTGGGAGGAAATAATCATCCCCTGTAAATCTATGAAGAATGTGGATATTGGAGCTGAGCGATTGGCTCTGTCCTCTTTGGCAGCTGTCAGTGTTGAAGACTGAGAAGAATAGTCGGTTATCTGTTATTTCAAGAGTACAATTGGTGGGGGGGTTGAGAGGCTAAACTGAAAATGGTAGCTTGCCCCTTCACAGCGTGTAGTATATTTGCATAACTCCATAGCTAGACATGCAAATATATGAGTACTGCACCACATGACCTACAGGTCACTTAAACAGAAATATAGATGTTTTTTTAGTATTAATTAGACTTGTAAAAGAGTCTGTTTGTAAATCTCTTGTCTCTTTTCTGTTCCTAGGTCTGCAGAGAAGTATCAGAGCCCTTGAAGTTGTCAGCTTTGATGCAGTACAGGTACGCCATCTATATTCAAACACGGCTTCTAAATATACTTTTGGTGTGTCTCTTTTCTAATTAGTGTGCCTGCAACAAACCACACGCAGCAGAGATGCGCTGAGATGACGGTTTTGCAGCAATGTGTGCATGTAATTCACAATAGAGATGTTATGATTATTTAAAAACGGGCAGAAAATGATCTGCATTGCTCACCACCTCCCTGGAGGAAGCAGTGGTGTATTGTTGTACAACGGAGTCTGCCAACATCTTGCCCCCATCATTCCTAACCCTACTAGAATATCCATTCTAGCCACCCTGACGTCTGTTCGTGCTTCATCTCCTCCTCCTCTCCCTCCTCCAGTGTACTGACTGCAAGATGACGGAAGAGGTGATTGTCATCGCCAAGTTCGACTACACGGCCCAGCAGGACCAGGAGCTGGACATAAAGAAAAACGAGCGCCTCTGGCTCCTCGACGACTCCAAATCCTGGTGGAGGGTCCGAAATGCCACCAACAAAACGGGCTTCGTGCCGTCCAACTACGTGGAGAGGAAAAACAGTGCCAGGAAGGCTTCCATTGTCAAGAATCTGAAAGACACGCTCGGTAAAGCCAAACATCTCTGCGCTCTGCCAGTGTTTCATTCAGCTCGCGATGGTTTGATAAGCACTCAAGTCTGTTTGTTTTTATTTGAGAGAGCTCACACGATTCCTGTCAACCTGTATTTGCACTCCAAACATATGTGTATCTCCACGATACACGATAAGATACTTTTCAGTGAGAGCGACTTGCTATATCTAGGCCAGCGCTTCCTCACTTGTTTCACTTTGTTTGCGACCACACAGTTGCGGCGGCTAATGTAGTGCTGCTGTCTACAATAAGCGCCCCAACAGAAAGCTGGTCATAGGCTGATGTGGGATTGGTTGAAAGGCCTTGCGCTGCTTTCTTCTCACGGTACGCTTGTACTCGCGCTTCAGTATCTGGATTGGGGCGTGTGGAGAGCAGTGTCTAATGTACCGTCTTCCCTCTCTGATATGGAAGCTCCGCTCAGGTAAAGCCGTTTTATAGTACTAAAGAATGCTTTTCTTTTTGTGCTCCTTTTTTTTTTTTTTTTTTTTTCAAATGTCTTCTACCCTTTTACCAGAATTGATCGGACGCAGGTGTTGTCTGCTCCGTGGACACGGCAGTAATATTTGTGGGCACTTTTTAATGCCAGGAACATGCCAAACGTGACTGTATGTAAGCCAAGGTTGCCATTTGTCTCCGTTCAGCTCCGCTTGGTGCCAGGTATTTGTGATCATTTGGGATAAGCACACTGACCACTGGCATCCAGAAAGCCTGCTCTTCATTTTGCCTACAAATTTGCAATGTGAGCGTCTTTCGTTTCTGATGCTTTTCACACTAGTTCTACTCTGTAATGCATTGATTAAGTGCATGATTGGATTACCGTGTTCATGTTTGTTTGGGCCAGATCTAATTGGTAGGGGTGGGGGAAAAATTTCGATTTCTCTTGATTCTCTCTAGAACGATCCGGTCTCGATTCAGAAAAGTTAATAATCGGAATAAAAAAAAAAAGTCTGTCTCGCGCGAGCAAATGTCCGTCTCGCGCGAGATATTTGCTCTGTTGATTTTTCTTTTAATTATCATATAAAGTAGGAAGTGATTAGCAACCTCTGAGTAGCAAACTCAGATTTGAGAAAGTTTAGAAAATCGAGATGCATTGATAATCGTTTTATCTGTTTGGAATCGAATCGTTGACCTCTGAATCGGAATCAAATCGTGAGGTCGTGAGAGATTCCCACCCCTACTAATTGGATTAGATTTAAGATTGTACCGTTTTCTTCAGGAACTGAAAGGCGTACCTAAATAGATCTGGGTGATCTCTTCACTGAATTGAGCAGATTTTCAGATCTGTTGTTGTTGCTGCCTATTTAATAAGTGCAATATCGTCAAACCACCGTTCTGAAATTGACAAAGTGCTAAAGAGCTTTATCTCTTTTGCTCATTGATGATTGAGTGATTACGACTTCTTGTGTGTAGTGACGCTGCGGGGAAGCTTTCGCCCCAAAGTGCGGAGGCGGTTAGAAGGTGTGTGTTTGGGTACTTCTAACCAGAATTGTCGCATCAATTTCTAACAGTATGAAACTGCGTTGTTTGCAAAAACCATTATCGGCTGAACATGGGAACCGTCTTCCTGTGTGTGTGTGTGTGTGTGTGTGTGTGTGTGTGTGTGTTTTAGTTATGCGGCTGTGCAACTTTGTGGTGAGAGGAAAACTGATGACATTCAGCGGGTTGTGTCAAAAGACTTTAACGTTTTCTAACGACAATTTTTTTTTAATATGAGTCATTGCTAAACTTTATAAATTGTTTAACTGCTGAATATTTAGTCAGCCCGTTCCATTTCCTCCCTGAAGGGTGTAGGTTTACGTGTGTGTGTGTGTGTGTGTGTGTGTGCGTGTTGTGCCATGGGCTTCCTAACAACTTCTCACCTGTCACTACATCCATTGATCAAATAAGCTCAGGTGAACAGCTGCACGGCGCACACAAGCTCTGTCCTCCGTCTCTCTCTCTCTCACACACACGCACAATAAAACAAGGAGTCGTGTAAAACACGAGTTCAGGCAAATGTGACCATCGTTAAACAATCTGAGAAAGCTCGTAAATACGTCACCTTCATTCGTCCTTCTTAATGAGCCAAAAGCAGATTAAGTAGTAGTAGTTTTAATGAGAAGATTGTTCCGATGACTTTCTTCTTCTTGCGGATGACTACACCCCCATAAGTTACGTGGGAGAAACAAGCCCGTTGCTGGGTGTGGAGAGGTGTCATCGTTTGAAAGAATGTGTGAGGATACGAGCCGTCTGCAGATGCCTGTTTTTAGAGTGTGTGTGTGTGTGTGTTTAAGGGCTCGTGTTTCCTGGGTTTGTTGCAAAGTGTGTCTCTACAAACAACTGCAGTCATGTGACAGAGCGCTTGTGGTCGTACTCTGCCGCTGTGCCGTGCCCCCACAGATCCTCCATCTAATTTCTTTGGAACGCTCCCTCCTTGAAATACCAATCTGCTGCTCAAAGTTGACGGAATGGATCCTTTACTTTCCCCATTCCTTTTTCTCTTTTTTTCCCCTTTCTCGGCCTGAGCTTCAGCCCCCGCCCCTCCCTGCTTCTTACCGTTTCCATGAGGCCTCTGTACTCTGCCTTCCAGGGCTAGACCAGAGGCCCCTCTATCCCGCGCCCCCATTGGCTGAGACTGACCACGTGGTCGGGGAGTGGGCCGTCCTGCTCCGCTATCCGCCCAGCGCTCTGGGTGTTCACATGGAATAACTCTACAGCTGCAGTGGGAAGAGAGCAGGGGCCGGGAGAGAGACGGGGGGAGAGACGGCGAGCCCAAAATGGACATGGCTAACCTATTCAAACATTTCTTTCGTGAGTTTTCGTTCCACTTTATTCTTCTGTCGCTCCTCGTTTGCTGTTTTCCAGGCGCTGTTGAGAGGCTTTTGTCTGAAGTTGGAGTGGTTCTCCTTTTTTTTTTTTCTCTCTCTCTCTCTCTCTGATTGTGCAGAAGCGGTTGTCCCGGTTTTCTGTTTGTCTTTTTCATTACGGTTTGGGAGTAGCTTTCAGGTCAGTAAGAGCGGGCGGGGAGAGAGCTTTCTGTGCCGGTGGACAGATAATGTCTTCCCGGCCTTTTCCGGCTCCCCGTGCAGAGACTGGGTGGATGTGCGTTTGAGGAGCCTTCCGCTGAGGCGAAGCCTGTAATTGCCGCAGCAATCATTCTCCTTTCTTTACAAAGCACACACACAGTAATCCTACTCCCATTTTGTTTTCTGCATGTGTCCTGGTGAGTGGGCTGGATTACACCATCGTGCTTCTCCACCCTGTTTAGGGATATCTCAAGATGCAGCCGAAGACTGTGTTTTAAAAAAATATATATATATTTAAAATGTTTTTGTAATACCCTCAGGGTCGAGCTGTCTGGTTCTGGGAATGGTCCCCCCCCCTCCCTCTCCTCCACCCTGTCCACCCCACCGCCAGTCCTGAGCTCCAGTTGAAGGGACGCGGGGTGCTCATGTAGAACACTGTAGTCATTGTACGGAGAGGGGGGGTGGGGGGTCTCCGCTGATGGATGGGACCCCGGGCTCCCATCTCCCGCACCTCGCCGGGCTATCAGAGGAATGTCGCTACCCCGGCAGCTCGGCGGGCCGCGGATACTTTACAGCCGCGCTGACACGCTTTTTTCAAAAGGCCCTGGCGCACCCCCCCCATGCTGTAATCTCACCTTGTAACTGTCGAGTGGTATCTGCTGTCCGTGTGTGTCCGCCCGCCGCCTGTGAAGAAGCCAGCGAGTGCAAAGGGCTGAGGAGAACATAGCGATGAGCTAACAAACCTTCTGCTTGTGTAAACGGAGAGCTGTTAGTTGGTCTCTCTCTCTCTCTCTCTTTGTCGTCCCTCTGTTTTCCTGTTTCTCGGCCTCGCCGGCAAGCGGAAACTCTAATTTGAGCCACATTTCTCCCTGAGCGTTGGTGTGCAGGACAGAGAGGAAGTGAGAAGTCAGAAGGAAGTTGAATCATTGTGTGGCGTCTGTCCCTTTTGACTTTCCGGCCGCCTCCGTCCCTCGCGCCCGCTTTGAAAAACACCCGCCTCGTTTCTCCAAACCACAAAGCAAAAGTTACACATTTTTATATTCAGAATTTAAGTTTGCGGGAGAGTTGTCAACATCTACTTGGCCGTCAGATAAAGCTGTCCACTTATCCTTCTGCCGCAGCGAATTGCTTAACAGGAAGTGAGCAGTGGTTCGGGCTTGTTGAAGACCGGCACTGTCAACATGTTGGTTGAAAACCGTGGAACTGCTGCGGCGCAGCTCCCTGATTGCACAAAACCTAAGAGGTGCCTCGTGGGTCGACAGAAAGTTGGTTAAATAGCAATAAACGTGGTGAGTCATTGTTTAAAGTCCGTGCCTCGTGTACAGCTGGCTGGTGAACATCAATACGAGTAACAAAACGTCAGCGACTAAAAGCCGCCACTGTGGATCCGTTTCTAAATGGGTTTGTAGGAGAACATGTCTAATGAGCCCAGTGCGTTTCTTTGTTCTTTCACTGTACTGAAGAGAGGGGAACCCAAAATTTGTCATTTGAATTTGAGGCACCAGAGAAAAAAAAAAACTAGGGTCATGTGAACGACATTTTGAAACAGCCTGACTGAAAATTACATTAATCAACAGTTACAAATGCTGAGAATAATCATTCAACTGTTCCCGTAGTGATGCAACTATCCAAAGCAAGGCTTGAACCAGGATGATTTCACAAAACAAGTGAATGCTCGCTTGTCAGCAAAGGTTCCACACGGTCTTTCACAGCAATGCTGCTCCTCCATCACAGCTCCGCTCAGCTGGCTCGACTCACACTTTCTGTCGTCGCATCCAATGCGCGAGTCTCGCGCTGATCCGTGTGCTCCGAGGGCCGCCGCGGCGCCTCACGAGGGTTTGAATCGCCGTTGGACGACCAACGATGAGCGACGCCGGGATGGTGACGGCTCTTGATTGCCAGAAGGTTGAAAAGTGCGTTTTGGCTCTGAAACGTCTCCCAGTGGTCACGTTGTGTTCAGGCGCTGTCAGACAGGCCGACGCGGGGTGTTGTCGCTCGCAGAGGAAGAGGCCTGGAATGGAGGGAAGCCGAGGGGTCGAAAGGGCCCCGGCAGACAATGAGCAGCCAGCCAGCAAAGGGAGGAGGGAGTTCAAAAACAAAAGGCGTTCCTCCCTGTCACTGGTAGCCAAACGAGCTCGCCAGCACTCTGCTCCTCTTCGTCGCCCCATTTGGAAACAAAGAGTGACGGTTTTTCATGTGACATGGACGCGCTGCCGTCTTTGTCATTGTTTCAGCGCTGATTTACTCGCTCTGCATCCTTTTTACTCCGGAAAAAGCATCTGACGTCAAAAGAGGGAAAAGTTTCCACTGCGTTTTACTTATTAATTCCTCCTCTTGTCTTGATCTTTTTTTTTTCCCCCTGAGTAGCGGCACGTGAGGCTTTTTAACGGGAAGCGCTCAGCCAGCACATCTGCATGGACGCGCTAATCATCGCTACCACATCCGGCCTGCCGGTACGATAACCGGTCCGTTATTAAAAGACTCTCCTTCGGTCCTGATGGCGACCTGCGACGCGTCCGTCGACACAACCCTGTCCCCTTGATTTTAGCTCTCATACTGTACGCTGTGTTGGAAGGATATCTAATGCATTAAATGCCAGCATGTGCGTATTACATTATAAACGTTGCACTAATCCGGATTCCTATAGCTAAGTATTTCAAATGACTGGTCCAGAGGGCTGTTTTCAACTGCAGCGAATCCTCTTTGAATTCAACTTACTCTGCAGCCAATCGATTTGTAGATGGGAAGAACCTTTTTAATACCCAGCTGGAGATGTTCAGATTGCTTTCTTTCTCCCCCACTCTCTCCCGGTAGCGGGAGAATCTAGGCCAAATAAACGGACGCGTTATTCCAAAACAAGACCACCAAACAAATAATCCTTCCTCAAACACATGAACTTTCTCACACAAATAAACATCCCTCCAACCCAGAATATAATTTCATATTAACAAATGTTATCATTTTAATAAGAAGTAATTTGTTATAATAAATATCCAATTTTAAATGATTAGGAAGTACTTTTCTCCTCAACTTTGGTTGAAGAAAAGCGATGACCGACCTACAAACAGAATATCCAGGAAGTGCTCGCCGAACACTGCAGGATTAGAGCTTCTGCTGGATTGTAAAAGGAAGCACAAACTTATTTGTTCGCTGCCCCCTCCACTCAGTCTTCCTGACGTACGGGAACAGGCCGCCTTCACGTCGATGCCTCGGCTCGGATTGCGCATCCAGTCGAATGCGCTGGCCCTCGTATTTCTGATCATGTTTTAATGTAAAGTGTTTATGTAGGAAGCTGGAAGCAGCGAATCAGAATCCCCGAAGGCGATCGGGCCAATATACCTGAGAGCCGGAGAGATACAACATGAGCTCTCAGCTGCCCCGTCGTTCTCAGCTGGGGCTGAAAGTTCATTTATTTATGCCGGGTTGACCTCTAACCTTTTGTTTGGAGCTAACTGGGTCATTTCCAACTGTGCACAGAACACATCCTGGGGCTCGCAGCTGTGCGAACATCTTCTGTGTCATTTGGCCATTTCATCTCCTGAAAAGGATTCTTAAGTTGTTTTTTTGGGGGGGGGTCGGTCCCTTTTGAGGTTGTTATCAGGCCTGCACAGAGACGTCAGCAGACTCTAACTTCCACGTACAGACGTCCGCTCCAAGCACCCAGTCTGGACTCTGTAGTTATCTCCAGCGCTGTGACTAATAACAGGTTCTACCTGGAAGCAATTTGACGTCGGGCTCTCGGCGCTGCTATGAAATTAGTCTGCGCTCCTTGAGTCACGGACCCGTGTCAATTCATCCGCAGGGAAGCGGCTTCGCAGTGACAAACCGCTCACGTTCTCCACACCGTCCTCCCCGGCTGTCCTGCAGACCACACCCTGACCCTCCTATATAATTTTACCCAGCTGACCTTTGATTATGTAAGCGACAGCCTTGCAAAGGTAATCAGAAATGGCGATTACGGTGTCTGGTATCGAGGTCTGTCTCTGCTTTGGTTCATCATCGGTGAGAGCACAATAACACGGTGGACCACGCGGGGGGGCCTGAGGGAAGTTGTGATTCGGCCATCGTGTCCACTGCCGGCTACACGCGTGTTTCATGCTACTTGTTAGCATGCCAGGCTGCCAAGTGGAAATTCCTGTCCAGTAAGGCGATGGCCACCGGCCTGCCAAAAATAATCTGCCTCTGGTCTCCATAACTGGGGGGGAACGGCTAAAAGGCTCAGTAATCCCCCCCCCCGCCCCCCTTCCGGTAAGCCCCATGGCTGTTCAGAGTTGCCAAAAGGTCAACAGCAAATGTGATATAAATCAGCCTGTGGTCGCTCGCTGTGTGACGGCCGACATGAAGACTGCAAACCGAAAGAAAAAGCTCGATTTCTGCTAGATCCGCTCTCTTAATCAAATGGGCAGCTCAGTGGGATGCTTGAGGGGGCAAATGGGCGGGGGGGGGGGCAGAAGTGGAATCCGGTGTCCCAGCTGCCGTGTTGGAGGGGGGGGCAGCCGAGGTGATTAGCGCAGTGTGATTAGCACGTAAAGGGTTCCGGGGATGTTGCTCGTGGTTCATTCCAGCGTGAGCTCGCAGTGCTTTCACCACACTCCTGTTTATTCTTAACCACGGCAGCATTGCTTTGTGTTTTTGTTTTCACCCCCTTAAATTTCAAGAGTTTTCTCTTGAAGGGTAATCCACAACACACACACACACACACACACACACACACACACACACACACACACACACACACAGTGGACCTGCAAACAAACCCTAAATGCATTCCAATTACCTCCCCATCGTCCTCTATGGTGCCGCTTCTTTCCGTTAACTCTCGCACCTTTTCCTCGCTCGCTCTCTCCAGGAATCGGGAAGGTGAAGAGCCGAAAGACGGGGACGAGGGACACGGCGTCCAACGCCGACCCCGACGCGGGCACGGACAACGGGGAGCGGCTGTACGACCTCAACCTGCCCGCCCTGGTCAAGTTCAGCTACACTGCGGAGCGCGAGGACGAGCTGTCCCTGGTGAAGGGCACGCGGGTCGTGGTGATGGAGAAGTGCAGCGACGGCTGGTGGCGCGGCAGCTACAGCGGGCGGTCCGGCTGGTTTCCGTCCAACTACGTGACTGAGGACATGGACGGGACGGCGGGCGGGGGGTTGGGCCCGGGCGGGCTCGGGGACCCGGCCGGCTCGCTCACGGAGAAGCTGGCGGCCGTGGTGAACAGCACGGCCAACGGGAACCGGGTGCTGCACACGGTGCAGGCGCTCTACCCCTTCAGCTCGGGCAACGACGAGGAGCTGAACTTTGAGAAAGGCGAGGTGATGGAGGTGGTGGAGAAGCCCGAGAACGACCCCGAGTGGTGGAAGTGTCGCAAGGCGGACGGACAGCTGGGCTTGGTGCCCAAAAACTACGTCACCGTGCTGGACTCCGCCGCCCACAGGTCGGCGGCGGGCCCCGCCGGGCCCCCCACCCCCGACTGCGACTACATCTCTCCCTCGAGCGTCGGCCGCTTCGCGGGGAAAGAGTGGTACTACGGCAAGGTGACGCGCCACCAGGCGGAGGTGGCCCTCAACCAGAGAGGCGTGGAGGGGGACTTCCTCATCCGGGACAGCGAGTCATCGGTCAGTAGAGCGTGTCCTCTGCGCGGTGCCGTCTGGTCCATTGGCGGCCATTTGTAGCTTCGCCAGCAGCCTCTGAAGTTTAAAGCCAAATTCTCCCATAGTCACTGCTGCTGTAAATGCTACAATAGACGCAGACCGTTTTTATGAGGAAACACCGTCTGAATGCTGATAATGTGAACTTGTTTCCTTTTTGTTTTCACAGCCGAATGACTTCTCCATCTCCCTGAAGGCACAGAGTAAGAACAAGCACTTCAAGGTGCAGATGAAAGAGAACCTTTACTGCATTGGACAGCGCAAGTTCAACTCTATGGAAGAGCTTGTTGAACACTACAAAAAGGCCCCCATCTTTACCAGCGAGCAGGGAGACAAACTGTACCTGATCAAGGCCCTGGCTGCCTCCTGATCCCTCTCTGTTACACACACACATCTATACATCTTCATCTACAACAACTTCATCCCTATATATACGTTCAGATACTTAAGCCAGAACACACACACACACACACTAACATTTAAACTCCAAGCCTGAGGACTTCAACACATCATCAGGACTTAAATGCCCGACTGGGGAGCATTCCAAGAGGAGGTATGGAACAAGTATGGGAGAAGCGCAGAGGGATGGAAGTGGGAGACACACAGACTATGGACTCCAGAGAGTTGACTACAGACTTCTCGTTGCCTATTTTAAATTATCCAGATGTGTTAGGTCATAGGCGATGCCATTTATTTCCACCTCGATATCTATTAGAGTTGCCTTTTTAGTTTCCTTTTTGTTTTTGTCGATAATATATAATCTTTTTTTAACATTTTCTTTTTAAAAATGTGATGACTTTTAACTGTTTCCACTTCACAACAACCACCCGTTCTTCGGATGAGGTCGACATTTCAAACTAGTTTATTTTTTTGTTTTTTTTGTCTGTCTTAATCTTTTCTTCACGGTTGAGGACGCGCTAATCCGCAACTTCTGCAAACTGCTAATCATGAATAAAAACTTAAGTGACCAAAATATATTTATTGATATTTCTGTTAGGATCACAGTGGTAGAGATCGCAGCATCACACTCGCACGCCGTCTGTCGCCCATTTGGAGGATCCGACCTGTGCAACTTTTTTTATTTTATTTTTGTACAACAGAACTGCTTGTCTCACATATTGCTGTATCCGTGTCATGTGAATGTTACCGCGCCGAGCAGCGGCCCGCTTCGCACGCATCAGGAAAGTGTCCCCGCACAGAGGTCATGTGAAGATTCAGAAAGTCCCCCGTCCGTCCCCCCCCGTCCCAACCAGTCCCCCCGCTGTCACCGCTCTTGAAGTAGTGATCACTGGCGGGAATGAATGAGTTGAACTGAAGGAAAAAGAGATGCTAGATATTATCTGTAATGTCTGTGCTTTTATCTCCATGGTCAATACGTCTTAAGAAGTCTCCTAGGTTGTTTTTTTTTGGGGGGGGGGTCTGTCTCTGTTGCCCCCAAATGTACGGTCAATGTCATGTTAGAACGTACGGCGCCTGAGCGCGTTGAGCGGGACACATGGTTTGTATTTGCGGAGTGAAAATGGACCAAGTGGTGTTTTGAATGTTGGGAGACGATGCTCGCGATGATGACTTCTCCAGCCCGGGCCAGTTGGACCCGAGTGCAGAGACGGGAGGACGGGGGGGGGGGGACGAGGTGGGGTTTTATTGTGGAGGAATGGAAAAATTGACCTTTTTTTTTTTTTTTTTTTAATCTTTTAAAGCAGTGAAGTGGGATGTAGAGGAGAGACTGAGCGGAGGATCTGGATCACTGCTCCGATGACTGAACCGAGCCGCTGCCATCGCTTATGCGTCAGCGTAGAAAAGCCGGATGATTTTGGGTGGGAGGGCTTGTAGCGTCTAATCAAACCAAGCATGAAAGTCAGCCATGCAACATGGGTGTGAACCTTTTGTTTTCTCTCCATTTCCCATGTGATTGACGGAGGTTTTACAAGAGCGGTTTGTTTTCTCCATAAAAGATGAATTATAAATAGTGCAACAATTACCGTTTCAGTTTGATTTATGACTGTTTAAAAGAAATGGCGATTTCTGACATGAAATCTAACGTGTTGGGTATTCCTTTCATTTTCCGTTCTCCCCTTTTTTGGATTTCTGTGTCATCAGTCACCAAATAACGTTTTGCGTCCTCTTTTTACTCACAACCCCTGACTGTTTCGCTGGTGCCGTTTCCTCAGCCGCTTTATGCGAGGCGGTGTTTTGCCCACAGTGATCGCCAACTGACACCGTTTTATTTTCCTCCCTGACTTCCAGTTCTACGGTAAAACGACCCCGCATTAAAGTGACGCGCGCCAACGCAACGTGCTCCAGTTTGAAGGATTTAGGAGAGTTTAATGTGCCTTCACAGCTTTCTGTCAACCAAAGGTTTAGCGCCCCCACTCCTCCACCCCTTTTTTTTTCTTCTTCCCCTCTTCATTTCCTTTCTTCTTCACACCTCTCGTCACCACTGTGTGCTATTTGGCTGAGGCTTCGCGCCTGATCAGCGAGCGTTTGGTCCTTGTGGAGAAGACTTCCGGTCGGCAGAAAAGATGTCATTGTCTAACGTTTTCTTCTTTTTGGTCTGATAAAATGCCCATTAGGCGATGCTGTGTGTAGTTTCAAGTGACCTTACCTTTTGCTGAGATCATCGAGTGTAACTTAAGTGAACAGTGAAAGCCTACATGTATGTTCTAAAACATGCGCTCATGTTCATTCAGGACCCCCCCCCCCCCCCCACCAGGTGTGATGTAATCATGACCTGAATCTCGCGTCAGAGCACCTCAAGTAACGGCATCACATATCGTTTGTTGTGAAGAAACAGTCATGGTTTCCCTGGAGATGTTTTTTGTTTTAATGATGTCTATGTATTTCATATAAGACTAGTGTAAGACATTCACTTTTGCAGTTTTGCCACACTTGCATATGTAAAGAAAGAAATCCTCAATACTTCTTACGTCTTACTTGATATTCAAACCCAGAACGACAGTATCTCCCTGAATGGATATTGTACCTGGGATCTTTTTTCCTTTCACACCAATGGAGGCTGCATGAGCGGAGCCTTGTAGCTGTAAAGAAATGGTTCTTAAATCTGCTTAAACGGACACTGCAGTCGTGTGACGGAAATTATAGAGATTGTCTAAAAACTATTTTACCCGATGGAGAACTGCAGAAATAGTGTGTGAGATGATCTTGGATCTCCATGAATTTTTTCGTGATAATATACGGAACAAATGAGCCGTGTTCAACTTTGGTGCTTTTGTGCTGCTTCTTGGTGTTTTGTCTCACAAAGCTTTGTTCTGTATGCGAGAGAAGAAAACGGATCCATGCTGTGGAATGATAAAGGCAGTGCTGTGAAATTGAATGTCATGCTCTTAATACTGTTTTATGGAGGGGAGATTGTCTTCAGGTGTAATAATTTAGAAGAGTTTATTAGAGTGTTCAAAAGACGTAATAAACAGCATAAAAAAGGATATAATAACGAGGTCTTGTTTTAAACTGACATGTGTTAAATCCTTTATAAGAAACTGAATTTAACTTTTATTGACTATAACTTGTGTGGATAAATTTATTTTCTTTGCACTAGCTTTGCTATAATGTGACTGGGCTGCTGTTAAAATGAGGGTATTACCCTATGTGACAGAGCAATGATTCATGCTCAGGGAGAGCAAAGGGAGTCGTGTGATGCACGTGCGCCACCTTGTGGCCGCCTGCGTCGTTACCACAAGGCCAATTTGAAATGACTGCAAAACCTCACGATTTGGTCAATTTATTTCAAATCTATCTTAAGAAACGATACAGCAATTGAAATATCAAAACTGTAATCCACATTCTATATTCAAATACATTTCTGCCGGGTGAGCGGAGGACTGTGATTTAAGAACAACAGTTAATCTCATAAATCAACCTCAGGATTGCACAGTCGGTGCATTTGGGACAAAGTGAGCCTGTGTTGTAGTTGCGTAACTTTGGGTTGAGTCAAGCCAAATCCCAGTGGGAGCCTTTGGTCCTCATGCCAGTGAGGAACCCAGAAGATTCCCATGTGCAAAAACATTTATTTTAGGATAATGTTACAGCATAACGATGTAGTGTTCAAAGGTACAAATATGTTAGTGGTTGCTACTAATCATGGAATATATCTGTAAACAAGTTAGGATTCGTATAAGACATTCAATATGCTAAGTGAAATAATTACCTTTCTAAATCATTATTTTTAAGGCCGGGTCAGTGAATGATCGAGGAATGTAGCTGAGAGGCCGTCATGGTGGAGCGACATGCGACCAGCTTCTAAAGGTGGCGGCTCCTCTTCTAGAAGTAGAGGAAGTCCGACATGGCGCCAGGGAGATGGGTCATCAGCTGAACCCTGAGCCAAGAGTGCGGCTCCATGGGATGGTACCGCGTGTACGGGCGCTTGGACACGACTGCGTCCGTGATGTCGTCCAGAACGGACGCCGCGTCCTTCTGTCCCGTGTTGCAGTGGGAGCGCGTCGCAGCCATGTGGATCTCAAAGCGGGCCTTCCCGTAATCCTCCTGGACCTGCGTGGGTGCCTCGCGCCACAGCTTGGCGGCCGTGACGGCCACGCTGTCTCGGGTCATGATGCTGGTGGCGGCGAGGAAGTTGCCCGGCTCGATTACGGACACTTTGACCCCCCAGGCCTTCATCTCGTAGCGGAGGCAGTCGGAGAAAGCTTCCACGCCGTATTTAGACACGCAGTAAGCCGACTGCGAGGGACATCCCATCCTCCCGGACATGCTGGCCACGTTGACAACGCGCCCTGCGGAGACGGAGGATGCGAAATGGAGCAGGGTTTGGTATCTGAGGAAATGTTCTCTGCTGATTAAAACTGACAATAATAACTTTGCATGTTCAGAGCAGTGAGGATTTCCCTTTTTCTTTTTTAAACTACGGTACATTTGCTATCAATACCAGGTTTATTTTCAGTATTGTTTGACGCACAACTTAGTGGTAAATTTTAAACTTTTCAACGAGGAATTTTAAGATGAAACAAGCCTGGTAACTGACTTAACTAAATAAAATCCAACCATCAATTCGGCACGTCAATTCTTGCCACTACTCGGTATCCTGTTTCTGTCTGACCTGGGTTTGCTTCCTCCACTCACTGACCTTTGGCCCTGCGGATTAATGGCAGAAAGGCTTTGGTGACCCTGACGGTGCCCCACAGGTTGACCTCTGACACCCGCCTGTAAGTGTCCATGGAGGTGAACTCTATTTCTCCAAACGTTGACACACCGGCGTTGTTCACCACAGCCCAAAGACCTAGATGATAACAGCAAGAAACAAATTCTATGAAGGGGAAAAAAAACACATCTTCCTCTTTTTATTTGAATAAGTGGATGCTAATTATTAGCATTACTTGTTTCTGTGTCCCCCAGGTTCTCCTTGACATATTTCACCGCTTGGTCCACCTGCTCGTCACTGCAGACATCCAGCTGCACAACTTTCAGGCGATCAGAACAAAGTTCTTCCAATTCCTTTGCGCCCTCTGCACCTTTGTCCTGCAAGGATGGCGTGACTCATTTAGTTATACCAACGCATGACGTTAAGAGGAAACACTTGCTTGATGCATTTTTTTCATCCTTGCTGGCTGCTCTTGCATATAAAGGCCCCAGAGTTGCATCAGTACCTGTGATATATTTTCAATGGATGGGTAGTTACCGTTTTTATCTGTACCTTAAAAAGACATCCAGCAAAGACGGTGAAGCCAAGCTTGTGTAGATGTTTGGCGAGTGCATGACCGAATCCAGTGTCACAACCTGTAATGAACACCGCTTTCCCCTTCACCTGAAGACAGGGGCCGAGAATAATAAATGTGATGTTATATACATAAATATTTTCTTTTTCTTACATTATATATTAAACCGGTAAAAAAAATCGTGTTTTACCTGTTTAATATGTTATTTGGCGGAACAATAACACGTGGTAATTTCAGTGGGAGGGTTTGTTACATCCAGGTTTTGATGGTTTGTTTCCGGTTTTATTTTGAAGTGCCATTCCTCTGGTTTCCCCCGTTCACTTCATGTCCCGCCCCTTCGATCTGGGGGGGTTGTTTGAACTCCAGTCGCTGCTTTGTACACCCCCACTCATTTTGCACATCCTGTTTCACCCTCCCATACAAAGTAAATTTACTTTTGGGTATGTATTAAAATTTTACTCAACATTTGGTTCCATTTTGTGGCACTGACAAATTACCGTTTCCACATACTATGATTATTTGGACTTCTTTCAACATGATTTATTGGCATTTATTTTTTTAATGACTTTTTGGAGAAACGTATGACCAATTTACCATTCGTTATCACCCCATATATTCAATACTTGGCGTACAAATCGTTTTCGCCATACCATGACTTTTAAATATTTTAACACAATAAACTGACAACATACTGAACTAGACTGATTACTTTTTAACGTTTCAACATGCTACACGATGACCGATGTTTCCAACCTGACTTTTTAGCAATAGGACCATTTTAAGCATGCTATTCTGTCATGATACATGACATTTAGGGGCTTAATTCTTAGACTTTACGTACTTACATGTGGTACATATATCACATACAATGGCATTCACTCACATGTGGGAAATAACGTCAATACCTTATCGGCACCCGCCAAAGACAACGAATTATTACCCAATTCCCACCTTCCCGCCGCATTTACCTTCACCGACCCCCGCGGAATCCGAGGCGTCGCCACGTACAGCACGAAGCCGAGATACAGCGCGACGATGCACTCCGTCACGCTGGTCTCCGGTAAGCCCAGCGCCCTCGCGCCCAGGTTCAGCAGCGACGGCAGCCCGAAGCCCAGCAGAACCGTCACCAGCACGGAGAAGGAGCCCAGCAGGGCGGCTCGCAGCGCGGAGACCGAAGCCATCTTTGACGGGGGTCGTTTACTGGGGGAGGAGGGCCGTCACGGGTTTTATAGCTGGTAGACTCCAAAAAAAAAAAAAGAAAAAAGGTGCCCTCGGCCACGGGGACGTTTCAGTGGCGCATCCTTTTCAATTTTATTAAATCAAACTGACGTGACTCATTCGACAAGCAAAATAAAACGTTTTCACAATCCAATCCGTGGTTTTGAACTTCGTAACTTTCCACCTTCAGGAATGTGGAATCCAATTACGCTTCATGCGTGAACAGGTTTTGTAAATTAAAATGTGAAAACGGGACAAGTCAACGGCAGTGAAGCGAAACCGGAAGCAAGCACCCCGGAGTCATCGAAGACGTTCGAAAATGCATATGTATATTAAATTAATTGCCACGGGCAACAAAGCTAAATGGCAAAAAGAAACACCGTAGGAATCTCCAAGCGTTCAGTTATATTTAATAGTTTCATAACACCGGTACAGAGAACATTCTGGTCAACATTACAATAGACAAGTTCAAACCTAATGTCCCGCACAAACTGCAGAACAGATAAGGCACAAAGGGCAAGAAGGCACCAAGTATGGTTACTGCACAAAACTCCCATCACATTTAGATGCGCTGTAAACTGGTTTAAAAAGGAATACTTAGAAAAAAAAAAAACGTTCAAGCATTGACATTTGAAGAGTGACGTTATTAATCTTTCCTGAATTTCTTCAGTGCGGCTGGTTAAAACTGAGCGACAGTCTTATTGACAATTAAAGCCGTTTGTATAATGTAACATAGTAGGGAGACTTTAGTCCATTCTCATCAAGGGAAAAACCAGACCTGTGGCAAGTTTGTTGAACTGCAAGAGCAGCTTTGATACAAAAAAAAAAAAAAAAAAAAAGCAATGACTCCTTTTAAATGGAGGGGCAAAAACAAACAAAACTACAAGTGCTCCATGGTTATCCCACATCAGTGCCTCTTTATTATTTGAGAAAAGTATCAAGCTTTTTCTTGATATTGTCAAACGAGTCAGTTCCCATGTAGTCAGCCTGGCCTTGCTCCCATTTCTGCTTCCGTTGTTCTGAGGACATCTGTGTTTCAGGTTCTGCAGGAGAAGAACAGCTCGCCTCCTTTAAAAAAAATAAATAAAAGATACATTAGTGAAATCGCGCCAGAAAACTGAAAGTCATGCAACAACAGCACAGAACACATCCTTTGAGCTTATTGGGTTTTTGAAGCAGTGAACTTGCGACACACCTTTCCAGATTAATAGCCACACGCAAACATCCTTATTTAGAGAGCAAGAGCAGTAAATGCATCAAACCACGTGCCAAACGGTTATTGACTGATCGCTACGGAATACATACCGCGACCTCTTCACTCTCAATAGTGACCATGTCACAGTCCTGGTACTTTTTGGGATGAATTGAAAGACAAAAGAAAGTAAACCGCAAGATAAATTAAAATAAAAGGCTGATTTATGCCATATTTATACTTACTCTTTGACACACACACACACACGTTTAAACAATTGAAACATAAGTTGCTTATATTTAAGATAGTTTGACAATTTAAGAAAAAAAAAAAGAAAAAAAGACAACTTTAGTTGGCTGCAGGTTTGTTGTATTTTCTATTAATTTCCTGCATCTAGCCACAGGCCTTACCATGAAGGAATCCGCCCCTCAAAAAAAAAAACTTCCCTTTATCTGACGGAATACAGATGTGGCGAGTAACTAGCAGAGTAAATGGAGGCCTGAAGATCGAACCAAACCAGCTGGTTCACTCACCTCCACGCAGCCGGACTGGAAAGGCTGGTCTCCGTATTGCTCCTGCAGCATTGGCACCACGGCGCTGGAGTACAGGGCCCACCAGTCCAGGAGGAACGTGGGATGTGTGGCGGCCTCGGGCACTTCTCCTGCGATCCGTTTGGATTTGGTGTCGTAGGTGTAGCTCCACGGCTTAGTCTTCCCTAGGAAGTGGACCACCTTTGCATTGCCACCAAATCTGAAATTGGCAACATTGTAAATTACTTATTTTTGATTCAGGAGATTAATATTAGATCTATTTAAATAGTAAAGACTGATGTCATAACAGAAGGTGTTGTCGTGTTTTAGACAGTATTCAAGGTAGTTTGAATTGATCAACGTGCATCTTAAAGCAGAAAGCGAAGGATAAAAAATGCTGCCTGCTAGACAAATGTCTGAACTTTGACCTACACCCTGACCCTGCATTGTATGGTGCTGTTGTGGCATTAACCTGCTTATTAGACATTATACAGCGTCTCCATTGCCACACCGACAAATGGATTCCTTCGTATTGGCAAACTGCACAAACAAGTCTGGTCCTGGATGAGTGGCTTCATTGCTCTTGCCAGGAATCCTAAGTATTACTTAAAACTGACAATAGGTTCATCCCACTTTATATCCAGATTTGGATACCAGGAAATGAGCTTGTAGTTTCCACAGCGAGGATGGGGGGGGTTAAGACGTACAATGACCGGGCTTAGAGGCGACCATAAAGGCCTTTAAATAAACCGCTCTATTTCAGGCTTCCAGCTGTTGGGAGCTCAGCGTGGAGATCCAACGCAGCGCTGAGGCCTGTCGGGGTGCACAAAGACAGTCTGCTGTAGTACGATAAATAAACCCGTCCCGTGGAAGTAAACACGGCAGGAGCAGCTTAGACACCCCGGGGCATTAGACTACCGCGTGAATGTTTAAGAAACATGACCCGAGCACACAGACACTCACTGCTTAAAGGCTGGAAGGTACGTGTAGATGGCTACGCTGCTGAGGTTGTAGATGAAGGGGAGGTGTTTGGATATATCAGCGGTTGCCCAGTCACTGAAAAACCCATTTAAGACTCCTTGGTCTCCACCTGCAAAAAGGAAAAATACCCCCAAAACAGCATGACTTCCACTGTTCTTTGTGAATTAACAGTGGATACTAACAAGCTCTATTAAGCGTTTTGTAAATACCCCATGGTTCTTATCCACCATTATTAAAATCTCTATATACATGCAGGGCCAGTTTCCAGCGCTGAGTTTTTAATCTGATTATTCAGAGCTTTTCTACTGAAAAGCTTTGTGCGCCGTGTTTGAAAACATTGCAGATTCCATCAGGGAGACCAAGCGAAGCCCGGAAGTCTCTCGTTTCAAAATAAAAACCATTAACTGGAAGATACTAAATTATTTGATAGACATCCAAGATTATTCACGAATCATTACCAGCAAACCATGTACGACTACTCTAAATAACAAGACTGTTACTCATGTTCAATTCTGCACTGGAGTTTCCTCTGGTCCAACTGGACTCGAACAACTCTGCTAATTTAGGCCTTTGGGGAACTCGTCACGGCGGTGGCTTACGTAAGAGACTCGTCTGGGGTCCAGACACACACACACACACAGCTGATGTAAAGTAGGTTGCACTTAAACTAAAAGACCAGATATGAATGAATCAAATTAAAAAGCTTTCCAGTGAATCTTACATTGTGACAAATGAGGAGCCGGAACACAACGATCTACAAACTGACTCTTCGTGCCAAATTGCTTCACCTCGGCGGCGCTGGACTGAATCTGTCACACAGCGAGCCGTTGTCCTTTGATAGTTTACACATGCAGCCCTCTGAAAAGCACAGGACGGTCCAGTCTGAAACTACAGCTTAAAACACACAGGTACCGTTTGTTTGAACCCCCAACAGTCACTGGGCATTGCAAGCGTGATATGGGGCCAGGCGTCTTCATTTTCAGGGGATGAGCAGAGCTCAGCAAGAATGTGCCAGTTTGTTTTGGCAGCCGGCAACGTTTGAGCCAGAGACAACGTCGCCGTGGGGATCAACCGCTGAAATTGGTTCAGGGGTCTTTTTTACATCATTCACCAACAACAGAGCTGCATGTGTACATCATGTCCCACTTGGGAGCTGAAAAAGGTCAAGGCCACTTTAACTCTCACCCCAGTGCTTGTGAAAAGACATCAGAGGCTATAAATAACAGCGCTTACTCCACACTGACAACATTATCAAAATGACTAAAACTACAGGACTTTAGACAAAGATGGCGTCAGTCCTGGAAAACTTAATCCAAAAATGTCCCATCTGATTCTCGTCAACAAACTGAGTCGTTAAAGCGGAGGCAGACTAATTGGTCTCGCAGATGGAATCGCTCTCATAGCGGCAGAGAAAAGCAGCTCGTCATTTAATGTTCCAAAAAAAACAACAAAACCCTTTCCTCTAACAAGGACGGCTCTTCCCAGCAAATGAGATTAGATAATTGGGTCAAAATGTAGTCGAGTGATGATAAAGAAATTACAGCAGAGAACGTTTGCTGCTACAACATTTATTTCAGTGCCCAGTAACTTTAGGCCATAAGGTTTCCTCACCCTCTCGCTTTTTGAGATCAGACTTTATAATCTCCAAATTAAAATGTTCCAGTCAAAGAAAAGACCGTGCAATTCTGTCATTGAGTCAGTCTGATCTTCCAAAAAAAAAAAAAAAAAGATACAAAAAGTCTCGAATGCGCATGAGATGCTCGACGAGGGGACGCAATTCTATGCTTTAGAAGGTCCAAGGGCTCAAAAGACTACCCTTCACTCAGAATGAGGGTCAGGGCAGTTACGGTCTGCCGCGCAAAGGTGGTAAAACTGCAGAACACGCCACCCCCCCCCCCCCCCCAACCAAAAAGGGGAGACTCGTCTCCAGTTAAACGCCTGATTGAAGCTGCGCCCCGGAGGGGAGTTTAACTTTCACCCCTGAGAATAAAAATGTACCCTGTTAGGTGGAGGGTCTGTAACAGGGGGCAGGGAGGGAGGGTCCTGGGCCCTACGGAGGCCTTAGGAGTAAAAGATGAACAAGGTCGGCTTAACATCAGGTCACCAAGAACTCCATGTTGCGTAAAGCGTTAATGTTTGCCAACAAACAAAACCCAGCCGTGGTGAAGCAGAACTATCTGAAATGCTACACAGACGCATTCATCGTCCGGTGTTCAGCAAGACCACGTCTATTTTGAGGGAAACTTTTTACACGACCTAAAAACATATCAAATACCAACCTGCAGAAATGCATCTAGTTGTCTAGTAAGATTCATGCCAACGTTCATTTCTCAAATAGTCATATTCATGCAAAAATAATTCTGGTCTCTGATTTTTTTTTTTTTTAAGCCAGTCCTCGGAAAAAGGAGCCAATAAGGGCAATTTTAAGTGGAACTAGTCCAGGTGAAGGAGTACTCGATAGTTAAGAGTCAGTCGTTTACATTACAAATTAAAACTTACTCATTCCAAGTTCCCAGAGCTGAGGCAAAGTCAATAAATGAAGTGTTTGGCGCAACAATATAGTAAGAAGACTAGAACATTTAAATACATTCTTCTCCGCTTACCATCAAAGCTGCCGTGTTCTGTGCAATACTGCAGCAGTTTGCCGTGAGTCTCAAGAGAAGGCCGAAAAACAAAGACGCCGGAATTGAAGCAGTCGGGCCAGCCGGGGTCGGGAGCCGCCGACAATTCTTCTCGGTCAAACAACTCGTCTACATTTGACAGCACCTGCAAGGGGGACGAACAGTAGATGGACCGATAGCTACAGTAAAACACTGAAATGCTCGCTGAAGAATGATACGAGTTTCGTCAAACGCACCAGAGTGTCCGCATCCATGAAGACACATTTGGAGAACTGCGTCAGAGTCCAGCAGTGCAGCTTGGTGAAGGTGACGCCCAGGTCCGGCCTCTTCATCATGCCCAGGTGCGCCGCGTCGCCGCTGTCCAGCACGTCCACCACCTTCACCTCGTCAAAGATCCTCTTCAGCACAGACCTAAATAAAAACTCTGGAGCGTTAGTCGACCGGCCACAAGCCCAGTTTGGAAACAACCTGGACCAACAGGGCCGGTAGTTAGCGAGGTACGGTTCCTCACTGGCAAGTCTCTGACATCTGGGGGCCGATGAGGACCACCAGCTTCTTGGATGTGTTGTGGTCGCGGAGGGACTTGCCCAAAACCATGGCTCCCCGAGCGTAGCCGTCATTGGTGGCCAACGTCACAAAAGCCTGGTCTGCAGGAGAAACAGTCAACCACCAAAGTTAATGATCGGCCATGAATTCCCATTGGTGTGTGATGCGCCGTCATAAGATAATGTCACCACATCTACAGTAGAGAACAGTGGGTGTTAATAACTGCTGCTTGCTACACAGTCATTAAAGTTTGCCGATTTATACTTTCAACTGAATGGTTCCCTGCAATTTGACGCGATGCAAATATCCAAAAATGAAGTCACATATTTAAGGTTTAGCAAGCAGTTTTTTTTTTTTAAAGTTTCCACAAACTCTGCCGCCTGGGCTCAATAATCCAAATAAAAAGACTCAAGTCTCCAGCACCAGATTAAATCCCTCATTAAAGTTGAATGTTTGCAGTGTGTGGTGCCCACCGTGTACTGCAGGAGGGGAAAATGTGTCCGCTACCTGCCAGGGGGGGGAAAAAAAAAAACTACCCAACAATGACTCGCCTGTGGAAGGTGATGAAATGCACGCGGCATGAGTTGCATAACCGAACCTTTTAGGCGCTCTGCAACAAGCAAACAGGGGAAGCTGCTCAGCCCCGCCCCCTTCCGAACCGGCGCAACAAGCGCTGCATTATGACATTAAACGCATGAAGTAACAGCCCCCCCCCCCCCCCCCTAATAATAACCCAAGGGGGGGGGGGGGGAAAAGGAGGAAAACCAACTTCAACCCCGAGGAATTTTAAAAAAAAAAAAAGTGTTCCAAACCGGGGAAGCCTGCCCCCCGGAAAACGCAACCGTTCCCCCATTTGGCCCAACGGCCCAAGTCCAGCAACCTAATTTACCACCGGGCGCAAGGGGGGAGAACGGAGGTTCTTAATTTGGGAATGGTCCCAATTTAAATTTTTTAAAACGGCAGGCTGCCATTCCCCCCCACCACACACACAGTGATGTCGCAAAGACCTCTTTACACAGAACACCACGACACCTGGTTATATATATATTTTTTTTTCGGGGGGGGGGGGGTGCTGGCATGTTACATACCCGCCATGACTGAAGAGGTCGAAGCTACTTTCGGCGCCTGGGACTCGGAGGAGCTGCAGCCTGGAGAGTGGACAGGGAGAGAAGGACCGTGCGAACGCGCCGAGGTGGATTTATAGCAGCCGGACCGGAGCCAATTGCCGCGTCACGTGACGAGCTCCACACACCCACCTGTTCCCAACATGAGCCCCCCCAACACACGCACACACAGACACACACGCTGTGCTGTCAGTGAGTTGAACTGTTCACAGAAACGTTTGGACCTAACATCTAAGCCAGAATTCATATTCATATTGTACCCTTTGTATTAACTTTAAAACTTGTTTACAGTGAATAATTTCACATTCTCGAGACATCAATCTTTGACCTTTCAAGCCACGTGGCTTCTGTGACTGTGTTTTATTTTACTCTTGGTGACAAAGTGGAGATATTGATGATGCCGTAATGTTGTAAAATGTTTCATATTATGTTTTAGCCACAATTTGGACTTCTGTCGCCCCCTTGTGGAAGACAGACGCTATTACGAGACAGAAAGGAGGTAAACAGAAGCAGTTGTTTAGCTCGATGGGCCTCTTGAACAAGATATCGAGTTAATTCTCTGATCAAACAATGTTTTGCCTCGTATATATATATATATAACTATATATACTAAATATTAGTAGTGTATCTAATGTAATGAGTGGACTTTAAACCCACAAATAATGGGGAGAAAAAGGAATCTCTTTTCAATTGGGAGCCGGACGGGTGCCGTTTTGCGTCCCCGTGCAGATCGACCCCTTGAGGGTGCTCCGGTAACACAAGAGATGGCTGATATCTTCCTGGGTAACGAAAAGCCGTTGAGCAAGGCACAGGATGGGATCGAGGGTGTGTGTGTGACATCAAACATCGGATTTGAAACCTTCAGTTTACAAATTTCCATTTGTTCTGATGTTACAAAAATCAATCACAAAACGTGGACCTTCTGCTCCAGAAATGTGTGCCAGTGCTGTTAAACTCCCTGCTGATCTTTGGCTGCTTTTATTTTGTCCAAATGCTTGGCAGAGTGGAGACGCTGCCAAGGAGTTACCCTGCGGGTGTCACGTGCTGTGCTGCTGGACAAAAAAATCCTTGACTGATACCCCCGCCCCCCTGACCCCCACCCCCCCTCCCATCCTCCACCACTGGAACCGCACCAGAAGAGCGAGAAGGATCACCAGGGTTCTCTTTTGAAAGCGTATTATTCCATAGTTTCCCGACCCATTATTGATGGGCATTGAAGTGTAAACCTACTGTTATTTACCGTACATATACTGTTTGTTTGTATATTTCCATACAAATGACAACGGTTCGGTCCATCAGACACTCTATTATCATATACACATAAAAAAAATGATTCAGCATGTGGGGATGGATCATTGATTTTATTGTTTGCACTCATCTTGACATTCTGTCAAGCACAGCACGCAAACATTGCGGGTGGTGCCCGTATCCATGGATACGGGCTGGAGAAGGCTGAGAGGTTGGAGGGGCTGTGGGCTGGTGCAGAGGGGGCTGCGTTGGCAGGGGTCCCGGCAGTCTCACTCTTTAATAGAGGTTCTTCTGCACGTGGGCGGCGATGTACTTGACGGCCAGCATGGTCTCCTCGCATGTGGGCTCGATCTGAGACTCGGGCAGCAGGAAGCCGTAGCGGCCGGTGTCACGCAACTCGAAGGTGTAGGAATACTTCACTCCCAGGTCGTAGGCCCAGTCGTCGGAGCCTCCGGCTGCGGGGTCTGAAGGCAGATAAGGAGCAGGGGGGGTATTCAGAGTTGGATACGCTGATGACCTGGAACATTCTGGATGTGTTTTATACAAATGCTGCTTTCAGGGGCTGAAAAAACCAACCTTTGTGTGATAGAAAAATCACTGCCTTGTAATAGGTATTAATGTTTTTGTGGCCTCTCTGGCCATATCTCTCCAAAGAGGTTTGCGCATTGTGAACAAATCATCATTACAGGTGGAAAATAGAATATCAAGGTCCCTCTTTTAACCTCTTTCCCCACGAAGACCACAGCAGCTGCGATATTTGCTGTACTTACAGATGGTTGCAGCACCAGGTCCACTGGTGTACCTGGTGCCATACAGACTACGCAGAGCAGCAGAGGCTCCATCGGCAACCTTCAGCTAGGATACACAGACAATAAAAAAGTCAGAATGTTTTTTTACAGGGTACAAGTATAAATATTTATATATGCTATTAAGCACTTTGACCAATCTCAGTCTGATTTGATTGATTATATCGACCATTTCACACATTAGCTACTATAAGAGTCTGGTCACACCAACTCAGGTTGTATCAGAAAAAAATGTTTTTGTAAAACTTTAAGATTGTGCTGCTAATTATTCTGAAGGTGAAATCTTCTGTTTTTAAAGTGATAAGAATAAAGGAACAACACTACTCCGAACCAAAACACATTTTGAGATCCAGCTTCTCGTGAAAAAAGTAAACATATTTTCTATCCACATGCAGCATAGCAACATTTGTTTTGCTGATATTGCAGAAAATCCTAAAAAGTTTCAGTAACTTCCTACAGGAAATGAAACCCCGAGAGAAATGCACAAGCAGGAAATTATATTCCTAACAGAACAGATGGGTTAGGATCCCCGGAGTTCTTTTCTGCTATAATGTTTCAGAAGAGAGCTTAGATGATGAGCCTCAGATAGTGTGAGAGCTGGAGCAGGGGTGTGAATGTTAACCTCCCCCCCCCCCCGAGAGGTAAAGGAGCCATGAGAACGAGGCAGATGAGCAGGCAAGAGTGGCCTTTAGCTGAGACTCATGAACTCGTGTTCTCACTTAAGCTTCTAGAAACACCCGTAGAGATCAGCCTGAATTATATTCATATAACACCCTCTGTTCTGAAAGTGTTGCTGCTAGACTTTGATTAGATGTGCACTCAAAATACGTCAACATCATAAAGTTATTCTCCTTGCTGCATTTAGGGAGCGTAAATCCTGCGTGACAATCTCCTGATGATTGTCACGTGCAGGATTATTCAGCGGTATCTTCCAATACGCCGTCAACGGCAGTAAAGTTGTGACTTACCAGCTCGCTGTGGTCTGCAGCAAGAGAGAAGCTGTAGGAATAAGGGAAGAGCAGCAGCTGGGAGTAGGAGTGGATCGTGATGTAGGCCTTGAGGATGGACTTGTTCCTGCGGATGAAGTCGGCGACGTTCTTGACCTCGATCTCGGACTCAGGTTGGTGCCCGCAGAAGGTGTCGCTGCAGGGGTTGCTGGAGGCTCCAACGGCTGTGATGAAAGGGAGATTTGCTGTTTTACAAGTGCATTGTGACCCGGGCTGTGAAGAAATTCCAATATGGATCAGGAGGGGCGTTGGGGAAATAACCACAAACACATCTTTGAATTTTTGTGGATGTTTCCAATAAATGACTCAAAATTAAAACTTGGAATTGAAATATCTTGCCACATATTTTGGCCTCTCACAACAATGTGTTTCACGTATACACCCCTCCATCACGGAAGTGCTGCATAGAACACCCCAAGGACCCCTTTAGGTTTTCTCCAAGCACATGTGTTGCACTTACTGCACCAGCCGGCGTTGAAGTTCCTGTTGGGATCGGCACCGTAGCAGCTGGATCCAGATCTCTTGGAGCGAGTCTTCCTCCACATCCTGTTCTAAAGTCCCCCAAGGGAAGAAAGACAAACTCTTTTAAGATAAACAAAACGGCGTGACTCCCGTCAGATACGACTGCGCGCTCCAAGAGAGGGTCGTACGCTCTTGTGGGTGAAGTCGTAGCCGTCGATGTTGAAGACGGGGAGGACAAAGACGTCCATCTGGTCGAGCAGGCTGGTCATCTGAGAGTCGCTGCCGTAGGTGGACAGAGCCTGGGAGGGGGGGGGGGACAAATCGGTGCTGTTACCAGGCGAGGTCTCTGTAGAAACGCTCAGCGTGCCCATGCAGGTGTCTTCACCTCACCTCTTTGACGAACCACTGGCAGAAGGCAGTAGAGATCCACTCCCTGGCGTGGATCCCACAGTCCATGAAGATAGCCGGTTTGGTGGAGCTGGACGTCTTACCGAGCTGAGTGAAAAGCAATCATGAAACATTTAGATGTGTGACGTTTTAGCTGGATGTCCGCTACATGAGTGAGACGCTGTAGAAGATAAGTCCGGTAGTACCTTGAGGACAGTCATGGGGCGTCCTTCGTAGGTGTTTCCAATCACCTGCTTGCTGATCAGATTAGAATTGGAGGAAGAAATGGAGGCAATCCAGGACTGGATCTGAAATGAAAGAGGTGGAAAATAAGGACAGGGAATAACAGTTTGGCGGGAGTAGAGATAGCGAGTGGTGATCTTTTTTCCTCTTACATTGTCCCAGTTGTTGTACTTGGTGTAGCTGTGGGCTCTGGGACTTGGCTTGTTGTCCATTTGGCCATCGACAGCAGACTGCAGATCCTCAATTAGGACCCTGCACACAAATTCATTCACGTGTCACTACATCAAGTCAATTTAAAAAATAAATAGATCATCATAAACGTGACGTACTCGTGCTCCATGTCACTCTGCTGCAGGGTGGTGTACACCATATCCAAATACATGGCGGGCACGCGGATGTCCACGTCAATGTCGATGTTCACCAGCTCAGCGCTCTCGGGGCTCCAGAAGTCGACCTGCAGATGGCGGCAAAGTCAAACACATCAGTGTGAAGAGGTGTTCAGACACCAAACCCAAATTCCAGCTTCTCATTCGACAAACCGTGAGGAGCTGAAAGAGGTTCTTATTCTGAAGTAAATATGCTAGAAAGGCAGTATTTGTTTAAAATGAGTGCAATTAGACATGAAATTGACCATAAAAGGAGGCCCCATTTAGTCCCTCTCTGTAGAAAGCTCAGATAGCTTCATAAGGTGTGTGGGTCTGTGAGAAAGACAAGTTACCTCAATGCTCTTGGCCAGTTCCTTAATGAGAGTCACATGTTTATCAAGCACAGGCTTCAGACGGAAAACTTTCTCTCTAGAAAAATAGCAAAATGAGGTTATAAATGCAGTACAGTACAATGGCCACAATTGTATGGTTCAAATTAACGGGAGCAAAAAAAACCTCTACGCTAGATTGTAGGATACAAACTGCAGCCACCAACAAATAAACCAAATTAAGGCCTCTGGGAATGTGTTAGTGTTATTCATTGGCAGATTCCATCATTTGTTTCAGAGAACAAACTGACGAATACCTGTTTAATACATTTGACGACCTCTTGCTTTAATAATAACGCTTACAAACTGTCACGCTTGTCCAAATTCATATATTGACAATTGATAAGGGGCTAATTTATAATTACAACCAAATTCTGACCCAAAGCCTGTACAGTATAGCCAACTAGTTGGCCGAATGCAAAGTCATGAGTATCACTGCGATTCAGATATTTTAATATCAATAGTGTCTCACAGGATTTACCAAAAATGTACACATTTTATAACAGAGAGGAGAAATTTACCCCTCGAAGCGAGTGAGGTCGGCCAGGCCGAAGGCCACCAATCCGAGAAGCAGGAGGACCCTCATGTTGTCAGTGAAGCTGGACTCGCCCGCCCGACGCCATTTATACCCCCAACCTGCCGCCCCTCCACCAATCCCCATCTGCGCTGTGGCAGCATGTCGCCCGTCCTTCCATAAAGCCACCAGTTATTTTTAGGGTGCTACGTGGAAGAACAGTGGCCTACACGATATATGGTCAATGATTGATAGATGGATAGAGGTGCTTGAACACGTTTGGAGACGTTTTTTCTGGATTTTGACCGTGGTATTTGAAAATAAAATACTGATGGCATGCTAAAAATCCTAAAAATATACATCTGTCCAGTCGAATACTCTCTTCACCTACTGTATATTTTGAATTTAACGAATATGCCCAAAGAAGACAAAAGAAACAAACTGCTGATTCACAAGTTTGACACATGATTTTGACTGATAGCAAAGCATTATTATGATCACTAATGATAATATTATAGTGATACTAGTGATAATAGGCTGCCCCATGTTCCATGTCGAAGTGTCCCTGAGCGAGACACCTAACCCCTAATTGCTCCCCGGGCAAAAATGTGAAAAAAAGCCATGGGTTTAAAGTATAATGTAAGTCGCTTTGGATAAAAGCGTCTGCTAAATGACCTGTAATGGAATGTAATAATAATATTAATATTGTGAATTATTTGGGCCTATTTGATCTTGTATCAAAAGTTTGACATTGCGACAGCTCTATTATGTCGTAATAAAAAACAACAACTTTGGGTTCATTTCTTAATTTTATTCATATTTATTCATATATTCACATATTCACTGTACACTGTACACTTACGGAGTAGGAACATTTTAAATATCACATGGACGACCACCGGAGGTATTGACAATGAGCACCCTGGAGTGTTGATACAGCATGTGACTCCCAGAGGACGTAACATTTCATCATTTCAGTGTTATTATGCAAACACCACCTACAGCATACAGGCACTGGTTATCATTGTCAAATGTTTTACTGGATATGAACTTACATCACATGTTTGCTACGGTTAGCAGCGGCAGGCAGAGCATGAGTCGCTTACGATCTTTGATATACTTTTTTTTTTTGCTTTGGCATCTTTGCTGAGCACTTGATCACTTTTACAACTGGAAAAAGACCCACTGAGCACACACAACGGTTATTATTATGGTTATTACATATTACTGCACTGTATCCTATCTTATATATATATATAACTGAATTAGTGATCCGTACGTATTCTAGCGTTGATATAATTCGCTCCTAGATGGGTTTTTTCAACCTGATTTTTTAAAAACACCAATGTCAGTGACGCTCACTTTCCATCCACACGCTCGTAGAGAAAGAAGCATTTACCCTCATGAATGTTACAAGTATGCGTGTTGTGTGACATGTGATTGTTAACTATCCTGCAGGTAAGCGAAGTGCAAGAGCCACGTGGTGGAGTGGTGGTTAGCACGCTCGCCTCACAGCAACCACATCCTGTGCTCAAACCCGCCCACCACCCATCTGCGTGGAGCTCGCATGTTCTCCGCTGCGTGGGTTCCTTCTGGGTTCTCCGGCTTCCTTCCAAAGACGTGCACGGAAGGTTAATTTGGGAATCTGAATTCATTGTCTGACTCTATTCCTGCGATTGAGTGGTGCCCCGCGTTATGGACTGGGATGGACTCCAGCCCTCCCCCACCCCCCCCCGTGGCATAGAAGGATAGATAAGCATTGCACAAGGCAGGGGATTTATTTTGGACTTGCTAAAATAGGGACATGAATGCATCAGTTCAATGGTTCAGTGCTTTGTAATACAGTTGAGGGTTTTAAAAGCATGAAATGTCTCCCTCCCCAACCTCTGAGAGTAAACTTTGACTCTCTCGCTCTTCTCTTTCACTTAGCGTCAGAGGAGGCCTTGCCTTTGGCCGTGAGGCTCAGCGCCTCGGAGGCCCGGAAAGACAGCGCGCTCATCTTGGAGCTGATGCTCGGGTGAGACACTCTCGCCCCGTTCGGCGAGCAGCGCAGCAGCCGCAGCAAGTTCTTCCGAAAGTTGTTCCCCACGAAGCCGTACACAATGGGGTTCACGCAACTGTTGAAGTAGGCGATGCAGATGGTGAAGGGCATGGCGGTGTCGATGATTTCTATGATGGCGCAGTCCTTTTCCAGAGACAGCTGGGTGAGCATCTGCATCAGGTGGAACACCTGGTGGGGCACCCAGCACAGGAAGAAGGCCAGGACCGCCGCCGCCAGCATGCGCAGCACCTCGTCGCCCCGCGAACGGGAGCTCTTCTGGATGTGCCGGGCCCTCACCAGCTCGCGTCCGATGAGGCAATAACAGGTGATGATGATGACGAAGGGCACCAGGAAGCCCAGCAGGCTTTTCATCAGGCTGATGGCCAGCAGGAGCTTTTGCCAAATCGCGGTGTTGCCGATGGTCGGGTGAAGAACGCCGCACACGGTTGTGTAGTTCGTGATGTAGTTCGTGATGGTGTGGACGTCCCTGGTAATCGCCGTGGGCACGCTGAGCACGAAGGCAAAAATCCAGATCCCCACGCAGGTGATGCGCGCGTACGACACGGTGCGTAGCCTGCGCGACCGTATGGGGTGGACGATGGCCAGGTAGCGGTCGATGCTGAGCGCCGTGAGGAAGAAGATGCTGGTGTAGAGGTTAAAAATGACCAGCCCGGCACTGGCCTTGCACAGGAATCCCCCGAAGGGCCAGTGGTAGCCGGTGGCGGTGGAGGTGGCCCACATGGGCAGAGTGATGAGGAAGGTGAGGTCGGAGATCGCGAGGTTGAGCACAAAGACGTTGGCCACCGTCTTGAGCTTCATGTAGCAGTAGATCACAGCCACCACCATGCTGTTCCCAACGATGCCGATGACAAAGTTGCAGCCGTAGACGATGGGCACCAGGGTGAAGATGAATTCGTGGCTCCCGGACATGCCGCACGTCAGCTCTATGCCTTCTGTCGCTCCAGTCGTGATGTTCTGCATTTTTCCCCCCCTTTTTTTTTTGTGGCAGATCCTGGGACTTCTAAAACAGAGGGCTGGGGGAGGGTTGGGAAGGGGGGCGGGGGGCCCTGTCGGCAGGGTGCGTCTGCGGTGACGGATACGGGCCTCGGGGCGAGGGCCTCAGCGAGTCCTATAAAAGGAACAAAACAAAAAATGTCACAGGCAGTCGAGGGGGAAGAGGCGTCGTTACCGCTGGCATGGCCCATAAACGCTAATCAACGCGGGCACCAATGAAAGCGCTCAGACTACGCCGGCTCATTAAAGGCCCCCGCATTAAAGCCATCCCGACGCTTTATGTTATTTCTGTAAAATAAGAAGCCATGAAAAACAGATGTTGCGCGTTATTCAATATTCCCAAAAAATGCCCTTTGAAACTTCATTACTTAAACAGTCTGCCTTCTCCCGTCCCTTTTAAATCACCCCTTGGCTAATGAACGGCCACAGTAAAACAGTGCAGCGTTCATCAAATGGTGGACTGTCGGCACCCGGAAGGAGAACATTCGTGCCTCGTGTCGCGACCTCTGTTAATGAAGACGGCTCGGCAAAGCGGGGGTCGGGAAAACTACCGCCATTAAACGCCGAGGTGCCGAGGGGGAAGCGAAACGGGGAGAGAAAGGGAGGGTTGAGTTTCCAGTCACTGTAAAAGACATGTCACGTTTCAAACCCTCGGTGTGCCGAGATACACTGTACCCAGCATGAGAACTTCTAATCAGCACACACCTAAACAAACAGGACAGCAGGGATTCGGCTGCGTGGAAACTTTGCTCTGTGAGAAAATCAAACCTGCGTGCGGCGGAAAATTTGCCTCGGGGCTCGTTTTTCGCTTCGTTTGTATCAGCAAGATGTGAAATGGGAATAGAAATAAAAAAAGAGGGTCTTTATGTTTAATAGAATGGCCTAGTGAGCGTCATTAGTGGGATAGTGTAATCATATCAGCATAATCATCATATCTTCTATTACTATAGCTGCAAAGATAATTTCTGGTGGTTATTGCAAGAAAAACATTTATGTGGTTGCATTAAAAGCAAACTGATACCGGGGGAAATTGCGGAACTTTTTTTTGTTTTAAAGTGGGCGCATAGCAAACCATCAAAATCGTTGACTATTTAGTATGATATAGATTTAGACAACTTTCTTTGCTGCTTCAATAAAAATGTAAATCCTCAGATTACCAGTTTCACTAAGTGGGCGTTTTGCCACAAGATGGCAATCTAGCCTTACGATTTCAGTCTTTCCATCTCTCAGCTGACATCAGTCATATCATTATTGTACATCCCAAACAATATAAAGTTGCCTCTTTCCATGAATCCAGTTGCTGCAGTTGCTCTCGCAGCTGGAATTTGCAATCAAAAGCACTTTTGAAAACCTTCCCTGTGTGCATTCCTATTGCCCTCTGGTTGGCATTAAGCCTTCCCTTATACTCAAACTATTTTATCTCCCAGGCATCTATCTCCTCACTTTCCACCAGGATCCAGTGGATGAAGTCTTTGAAAAGACCCGTGCGCTAAAGCAACCGCCGTATTCGTTGCAGATGTGAGGATTGTTGTGTGGAGGCCAAAGGCAACAGGATGATGAAATATATGTGAGGTGCAGAAGGTATAAAGTGAAGCACCAACACAGACGTCACAGCTATTCTCCTACGATCACGATCTTATGAATATAATAGTGGGTGGCTGTTCATGCAAACTATTCAGGAGTGAGTGACAGAACACATATCGGTTTCCCAGTCCAGGGATTTAAAACCGTTTAAGAAAATCTCTTAATGTGAAGACAATTTCTGATGCCCACGAATGGAACTGAAGGGGGGAAAATGGCCGCCGCATGCTTTTTTACCATCGATGGTTGGATTTTTACCGCCAGTATTTTTCCATGAGGGAGATTCTCAAGGCGAGTGGAGGTGGGAGGGGAGTGACCATAAACGAGGCTGAAAGTTATTGCTGCCTATATATATGTAAGTGAGCCCTATAATAAAGGTGAGGATGGCACGGACAGAAGGTGCCTCTGAAGCAGGTGATTTAGTGTGTCCGGCGAGCTTTGGCTCAGCGATCGAGGCGGGATGGCACATTACTGAATGACAGCCATAAACCCCGGGTGACCACAGACAGGAAGGTAAACACCTACTTCGCAAGGTCCACGGGGGCAAGCTGCATCCTCTCGGACGAGACAATGGGCCGCGAGGCCCGACGCCGTAAGCTGCTTACAATGATTGATAAAATCAGGACGCGCGGGAAGTTTGGGGGACATTTTTTTGCTCCACGGGGCAAAGGTCGACTCCCGAATGCCACCAGAGTGTCAACATTCCATTTCTTGTCCTATTTCGGGTGCGTTTGAACGCATGCCCTAAGCGGGGGATCATGGGAATCCCTTGAAACACTAAATTAAAACCCCCACCCGAGTTCGACCGGCCGTGGGTGGAACCGCGGTTCCCACCAACAGAGACATCCCCCGGCCCGCCGCTCTGACATGAGCACCACCATCTGGCTGCTCGTGGAGAGGGCCACTAAAATGTTTGGTTGATGGGGTTAATGATTTATTTCAGCCCATTATGAAGTGCGGTTCACCTTAGTGGGAGCACACCAGCTCAGTCACCGACCGCACGACCCGGCCTCTCGTTTAGGCCCTGGCTTGGCGAACGCCGCGCTCTTCAGCTGCGGTCGCTTTCTGGCTTCGCATCCTGTTTCTTAAAACAATTTAGTTAAAGTTAACAGGAATACAAATTAGTTCTCGTGGCTCCCTGCCGGTCATCTGGGAATGGCACCGCAGCTTAATTTATCATTATTGCACCTTGCAGAGTAGTAACACGGGTGTTTAAAACTTGGCCCTGACCTCCTGCGACTCATTTCCTCCTCTGTCTCGGCTTACGGGGCCTCACTCCAGCTCAAGAGGTTTGGAAGGAGGAAACTTGATCAAGAAAAAAGTCGTGGGCTCTTAAAGTGACTCTCAAAAGTTACGTGAAACTGATCCAAAACGACACACATCTACTGTTGAAAGGTGTGCATCATGTGTCCATAACGAGTAAGACTATTTTGATAAAGCGGGTGAGTGAATGAGGGTGATGGTGTCCATGAACTAAGTGAATACTTTCCAGAGAGCGGCTAATGGAAATATTGGCTTCAGAGTCCATGTCTGGACTTCATGTGAGTCGCATAATTAAACAGCACAGACTTCAGCCTGTGGAGCTTCCCCTCATTCATGTACTTAATCAAATATGGTATCGCCACTTCGGATTACAATAACATCACACACTATGAATCCTTTTCTCTCCTTACTTGTGTCAAATCACTGAAGACAGAAGATGACTTCAACGCGGAACCTGAAATCCTATCAAATAACACGTCGACCGGCTCCCAGGAGGAGTGTTTGCCTCCGACATGCAAACATCAGGGTGAACGCTGAGTGAGCCAATGCAAAGTAAAGAGCCTCATGTTGAGCAGCCTTCCCTGCGGAGCCACAACTTATTTTCCTCATGTCCATTTAACGGTATCACTCTATTCTCTCAGAACTCACTTACAAGGAGACGAGGGGACAAATGAAATGCTTTTCTTCTTTCCCTTCAATTACCTCCCTCTCACGTCCCGCATGCCTCGCTCAACTGTTTCCCCGCGTTCCTGCTTCCCTTTTTACGATTGAATCTTTGAAAACATTAAGACTTTTAAGGAGCGCTAAGCTCGTGTTTATCAGGAAGTGGATCCGAATCTCGGTGGGTAAACGGGGGCAACGTGAACCGAACCAAAGGCTCCGTCCTTCTCCGCGTAAAGTCGCGTGACGCAGCTCTGGATTCTTCACATCAACTAGTAGTTGTTTGCGAGGCTCTGCCCTCGGACTTTCAACAAATGGCAACGATCAAGTCAGCGAGCACATCTGTTGTTTCATCTTGTTCTGCGTGTTCCCCAAGGCAGTATCCTCGAATTTTCAACAACGGGGCTTTACGAGATAATTATCTGCCTTCAGTCTTCAAATCTGCTCATCCAATGAGAGGCTGCTACAGAAAGTTACAGTTACACAAGTTTATAGACTTTTACTGCTGAATATATGCCAACGTTTTTTTTTTAAGTTGGTAAAACATGTCCTGAAGGTGAAGGTCAGGTGACGTGAGCTCTTACCTGTGGTGCTGAATCAGGAGGCTGTTGATGCTTTGAGAGCAGGACGGACGGAGAGACGGGGAGACCACCTCGGTGTGCAAGTGGCTGCCTCTGATTTGACTCAACTGGTGGAGCGAGACGAGCAGGAATAACATACACTGACACACACACACACACACACTCCCCCCACTACTCTCTCTCTCTCTCTCTCTCTCTCTCTCTCACACACACACACACACTACAATGATGGATGACTTACACTGGAGCTAGTCGGCAACGTGTTGTCCCAGTCGCTTTCTCTCCCGCGCACACAAACAAACGCTTCCTCCTCCTCCTCCTCTGCTCTCTCCACTCCCCAAGCACCCTCTCCCCCCTTCTCCCCTCTCCCAATGTCTACTTTTGATTGCCCCATGAGATCCTTTTTCTGCCCCTGACAGGTGCGGCCGATTGTCGCGCCGCATCGAGGCCCGTTGCACATCTTTTGAGGGTGTTTTTCGATACGGTTTAATTAACCAGACGGCAGAGACGGCGCTTTGTTTAATCTCACTTTAATGCCTCGACCAAATTTCTTCCTCCGCCGGTGCTCATCTTTCATATCAGCGAAGGCCCCCCCCTGTCTATTGTCCCTCGCACAGCATGAAAGGAACGACCAGGCGCTTTGATTGGGATTGGATCTGTCCACACACTTTATTAATAGCTGCCAGGAGCTCGCCCTCTCTGGCTCCTCTCAGCGTACATGAGGGGCTGCGCGGGGTGACTGCCGGGGAGGAGCCGTAACAATGGGTTACTTCTTGTCTTTCACTCCTTGCCTAAGAGCGTTTTCCTTTAGTGATTCGGTTCTTGTTCGGTGTTAAACCTGCATCGCTGGAGTGTGTGACGACACCCAGGACTCAATTTGCTGTGACAAAGGCGCTTGCTAGTGAATCTGACTGGTAAAACAGTACTGCAAAGTGTCATTTTGCGTGGGACAAATACATTTGATTGTTGCGAAAGGAGGGAATTTGAAGCCTGCACACTTTGCGGTTGTGCAATCGAGCTGAAACGAGAAGGTATTTCTATTTTCGGCAAGCGCAAAACGTCCGTCGGACAATCCTCGGCTTAGTATTCTTCTGTTTCCCAAGGTCTTGACGGGTGTTGAGAAGTGGGTCACACTCTGACCCCTGCGCCTCGGTCCAAAGCCACTATCGCAACTGTCACGGAGATGGATAGTGACGGATGAGCAGGCATGGCTGTCGTCCGCTAAATCCACTCAGTTTCAGCGTCTGCAGCGTTGACGACAAAGAGAGCCGTCACCTGGGTAGAAGACAAACAAGGAAGGAGGGGAAAAACAAACACTTTGAGCTAAGTGGAGGTCCTGCTTGGTGGCTTTTGCTCGGTCAGGTGTGACCTCGTCATTTGAGAATGATCACATGTACCGAGCTTTCTATGGCACACGGCGTCTTGGAGGTCCCGCAGGGTCAAAGGGCAACGTGTGCAAAGACCTGGAAAACGTTTTTTTTTTAAAAATGACATAACACCATGAGGGGTCTTCAGTCGTTATACCTGTAATTTTTCAGGAAGGGTGGGCTGCAGAGAGGAGCATAATCTCTCACTCTGTCTGGAACACGGCAACGGTGCAATTTACGCCTCCAGGGGTATTATAATGAAGTTCTTATGTGTTCAATTACTGTGGCAATAAGAATCCCGCATTATTGGGCGTCTTGTCACAGCAAAAAGCAGCCGTGCGGTATCAAATCGCCTGAGCCGTCTCGGTGCCGCGAGAATTATCAACAATCTATATCTGACCCACGAGACCTCTCAGGAAGTGAGGAGAGAGTTATGTATCAAGCGCCGAATCTCCACTGCATTTTCCACAAAAAACAAATAATTCTCAGCGGGGACAGGATGTTGTTGCAACATCACGCAGCATGACATTGATTTACAAGCAGAAACAGATGTTTATTTAAAAATGGATGAAGATCCAGTGGGGAAAAGATGTGGAACTTTACCTTTTTAGAATGGATGACCTGCGCGGGGTGAAGAATAATAACTCCCTGTAAACGCCGTGATTCACTCTGAGACAAAGCACATCATCTCATGATTTTCTAAAAATGCACGTTATGCAACACTTCGGAACTTAGGAGCAAGGCCAAGGTTCACAGAGAAGGTTGTTATTTATGATATATTGGATAATACATCACTTCTGGGTGAGTAAGTACGAAGATGACATGCCCATGTACCCGGGATGCTCTTGCTAATCAAATTACTCTTAACAAGATAAGCTGGTTTAGCACTTACGCTATTGTATTGATGACCGGGGGTAATTACCGGTAGCACAGAGCCCCTGCGGGTAATGACGGACTTTTTTACACCAGAGCAACACAAGCACTAAAATGCCAAACCATCGCACAGCCACCTGCCGAAGGAACACAATAATGTGCGAGATGAGGAGACCCTCCGGTTTTACCGTAAACGGCTGACCTGTGTGTGATTGACAAAAAGCCCAGTCGTCACGCCTGTGTGAAAACATGTCGCTGCGTGGTTTCCATCAAACATCCTCCAGTGAATTGATTGCGTTTTGAAGTAGCGTCGAGGGGCCAACGAAACGATCAAGAACATGAGCGCCACGTTTCTTTCCTCACGTGTTAGTCATTGGTTTCTGTTGACAAATGGGAGAGAGACTTTTGCCAAACTGCAAAACCTCAAACTCACACAAAGTTCTTCCTGGGTGTGCAGAGTCGTCTTAATGAGAATAAACTTTTTTAAGACCTTTTTCTTTTTTTTTAAGGTCTCACTCAGACATTTGGACTTGGACGGTTGCAGGAAAAGCACAGGTGGAACTAATCACATTACGGATGACCATGTTCCAAAAATCACTGCAATGAAAAGCATCAATTATTTATGTTATTAGATGGTTTGATAACGTCAAAACGTCTCACTTTTACTCCGGCATAAATGTAGTGATACACAAGAGGCAACACGAGAAATACATACTCCCAAATGGAAAAAGAAGTTGGAAAATAATACAGTGAATCCAAGTCAACATCAGTGTGACGCACAACACAATATTTCCACCCCCCAACTCCTCTATTGGCATTTATTTAAACAAATGATGCAAAGTCTGCACCCCCTAAAAAAGAGTACTCAGTACAAAGGAGATACGTGTGTTTTATGCTCCCTGCTCGTTAAATGAGCCCATGTTTGACCCGTTGAGGCGATGTTCACATGCTTGGCAGGTAAGAAGCTTCTTTAATTCATTCATTATTCTCTTGCAGATCGGTCTGAGACTTTTGCTCATCTTATTTTATCACAGGACGGGACTCATGTGAACTGCTTTTTTTAACTCGCTAGTTTGGCAGGTCAACGTCTCTTGGAGCCATTGGATGACGTCACAGAGAACATTTCAACATTTTATGGTGTCTATGAGTTATGTACCTTGTTATTTTGCTTCCTTTGAGGACTAAACATGACTTTGGCCGTGTGCATTCGCCGGTTAGATCAGTTTTTACTGCTGAAGTCTTGTTGTGTTTAAACTTCGGGTGCTCAGCTGCATCCATGACCCGACCTTTGTAACGTTTCATAGATGGAGCCAATGTGCTCCATCACTATTCCCACTGGCTCGCTCCGCTGCTTTTCTGCTAACTCTGCTCTGACAGTCCCAACCGGAGATGCTGCATGCTACATGCACGTCCATTTCAGTTCACACGCACCACCTCCAGCGCCTCCATCCACTTGTTGACTCTAGTCCGAGTTCTCCTGCGAGGAAGAAAAGTTTATTGTCCTTCGCTCGCCTCTTCCTGCTTGGTGAATGCTCGCCATGAGTGACGGGGTCAGAGTTTAGATGCAAAATATCAACTCTGTGTGCTCTGTGCATGTCACGTCGTAAACCCCTCCGGGGGTCAGTCGGCAAGCTGAACCGCCCTCACCTGTCATTTCAACGGCCCGACTCAGTACAGCGTGCAGGTCATGATGTTGTGTCAGTCATGTTCAAGGATTCTTCAAAACCATGTAGGAAGTGATGTCATTGAAGAAAAAATATGTTTTCACCATGGTGCCCTCAACTACTAGTCGAGATGCGAATGATCTTGAGTTTGAAGATGGGTCCGGTCTGAGGAAGGAGGCCCCACTTCCCCTCCCCCCCGGCCTCACCCTCTCCCTTCTTTGCGCCCCTGACCTGGTTTGTTGCCACAAAACTAAAAATAAAGCCGAGCTTGAAGTCGGGGGAGTCAAAGGGAGTACCGGGATTAGGAAGTGTGGAAGGGGCCGTTTGCACCCCCCCCCACACGGGGGCTCGATTTAGCATCTCGCCTGGTGAAAACACATCGCACAATGGTCCGTTGTTAAGCAGTAACACTGCACTTAAGCATAATATACTGCGATTATCAACAAAACCTTGGTATGTGCTAACGTGCTGACATCATCAACTTATTTAAATGAAGACAGTTATGTTCAACATATTGGAGTTATTATAGTGGTACACTAAATAAAACATACGAGACTTGTGTTTACTGACGTTTATTAGCGGAAGCTCAGAGGTTCAGTCGAAAAATGCTACAACTGACTAAATAATAAATGAACGAAAAGCATGTCGTCTTAAAAAGATATTTGGTGTTTTCTCCAAAGCATTCTCACTGTTTATTGAGACATAACAAGCGTCACTCAGTACAGAACTCCTGACAGTAAACATCTACTACCCAATACTACGCACATCTCCCCTTGGGACTCAACGTGGCTTTAACGAGTTCTTCATTTTCCCCGCGGGCTGCGTAGGTTTTCGAGGACAGCGCCGCGCCGTCCCACCGGATCCCACCGCCGCGGTCAAGGCTCACAAAATATTTACCGCCTCTCTCACACTGCGTTGACTCGCCGTATTGGTGTTAAACTTTTTAGCTGTAAGGAGTGAGGAATACGTGCAGCACAACCTGAAACCTTAGTGGTTTTGGATTGACCTTTGACCCCGGGCTTCAATTCCCGTTCAACGTCACGGAAATCACCGACCCGGTGGGGGGGGGGTCAGTCGTGGGGATGTAAAAACGATGAAGCCGCCACACTCCACTTAATCAGAGCTAAAAGACCAGATACGTCAAAGACAACAAATCTTTTGCACAAACAGGAAGCACCCGAGAGATTGGGGAGGAAAGTGGTGGGAAGGCGTACAACGGGCCTCTAAGAGCCACATTGTTTAGGTCTGGGCTCCCCAAGGTTGCCTTTTAACATCGACACACAGGGAGGGATGGGAAAATACTGGGGAGGGGGCGGAGGGTGGGGTGGACGCTGAGGGAGGCTTGCTACTTCTCCCTTTGCTTAACCTCTCCCATGAATATTTAGGGATTTTTGCAGGAT